CTGATGAGACTTCCAAGATAAGTGAAGAGGTCGACACGCTCAACTACTTCACTGCCTATCATTAGTTCGGGTGTCGATGCAACCCAATCCTGAAACAACATCTAGAAAATATACCAAATTATATAGAAATAAAAAATACCTCGAACATTTTAACCTTAGCGATACAGTAAAACGTTTCTCTAACACAAATAGGCGTGCTAAACGTTAGAAGAAACAGTTAATACAAAAGCGTTAATACCAGAGAATCAGTAAAAATATTCCCAACAAGATGGGGTCAGGTATCTATCAGCAGGGATTCCAGTAATCTTATCAAGCAGAGAATAAAGGTTAACAATCACACGCTAAACCACGCCGTGACTTTGAGATTAGTCAAACACGAAGTTATTGTCAATAGTCCGGCAATATGCAATAAAATTAGGTAACAAAATGTACGTCTTTAATCCGTCACATAACAAAGGCTCAGGAGGGGAAGACGGAAGAACACAAAGTGTGGTCAAAAAAGGTCTGAACAAAGGTTAAAATAAACGATAGGGAGAAGAAACAAATAAATGACTCCAATGTCCAACAAAAATGGTGTGGAGGGATTTTCAACCTTTTCTATCCGTTACATAGGATATTTGTGATGAAGTTGAAGCAGCTAGTAAATGATATCTAGAACGAATGATTACAGAGAATACTGATTAATTAAATGATTCCAGTACATACAGTTGATGCAGCCACCATGAATCCGGATTTTATCTTCGTCATGTTGAAACGACAACCAGAAAACCGAAATTTCCAACATGCCTATATATACTTATCAAGACACAGATCGAACGAGATGTAATGTGTTTATGTATATGTGCATAAATTCTATACAGAAGATTAGAAGAATACCATTTCGTGTGTAAATTTTCAAACCATTGTATCTACACAGTGTATTATATAGTATCTAGCTTGAGTAATGCTAACTGAATCGCACTGTGTGGACTTTGCGTATTAAGATTCGAAGAACAAATACTATCACAGGCCTGGTAATGTTTACGATTTTATTCTGGCTTCCACGCTACAGACTGGCTATCAGTTACACATAACCTAACATCACAAATTGCCGTGTCTGAATCGGTTCACTATTACGTTTACTAAGGTGATTTCCACTGACTAATGGGTTAGGTTTAATTCCTCGAGTGTCCTGATATTTATGTGATATTGCTTTGCTCTATAGTGAAAAACATTAATTCGTGATTGTTAAAATCAAATGATATACAACGAGTAGTGCTACTTGTTGTATGGTGCCTCATTTAATAAAGTCTTTGTGGTGGTAACACAGAATACAGTTCTAAGAATTCGGAGTAAATAATTCAATTAGACTGCTAACAGATATTGGCCAAACTAACCGCATTCGACACAACGAAACATCACAGGATAGTCCAATGACACAAACGATAAGTACAAGAACTCACATGATATAAAGTATATTCAAAACTATCACCGACTGAATTCATCCAGGTGAGGCATGGAAACAGTATCATTGATGGCGATGGATGGACCGATTGTCTCATACACCAGCCGCAATAATCTACACTAATGTTATCTGTTACTTCCATTGATAATCTGTCGCTTACATTCATGTGGTTGTATGACCTTGACAGCTGTGCCATTTTCTTCAGATTGTAGACCTATGGATAGGAATTCAAGAGATTACCACTGATCTATAGTTGAACACTATACGATAATGTATCTTTACTCTCATTGTCTTCAAATTTCTGTGAATTACTTAACAACAGCAAACTTTATCCATTTCACACTCATCTTTCCATTACCTTCTTGAATCAATCTCATTTTCAAATCTATAGAAAGGTTTCTGAAATTCACTTTCTTCTTCCAAATAAAAATTGACAATAACACACCAGTCTTCCTTCACATCACCGACTAATTTTGTTTATTCTTAACTGTCAATGAAATGAATTACTACTCATCAGGTCCATCCCTTTCAAGTTGGTTTTCGTCATAATATCCCAGATGATCATGATGAGATGACCATTCCGAAATCTCTTCAGAATTATTACACTTCTTCGAAGTTATTCCAGTGGGTTTATAGAATTTACTATCCCAAAACTTTCGACGAAGTAATTCCCTACAGATGCAATTCTAAACTATTCCCTCAACTGTTCACCACACACTCTTTCTTAGCTTAGCCAAAGTCACAACAAGCAAGCTATTTGGATTGATACAGTTTATCTGTTCACAAAACGTAAATTAACACTGTTAATATACAAAATAAACAAATCAACACAGTCTATTGAACAGAAAACGTGAGACATAAATAACATACAGAACAATAACTAGAGGTTGGGAAAAACCAGTCAACAAAACGAATATCGTTTATGATAAATACAAAGTTACGATTGATCAATAAACAAAGTATAGTCAGACAACATGAAAGACAGTTAATATGGAAGTGAGAGTTTCATGTTCTCATTTGTGGGTTCGTTTATCGATCACGCTCTACATCAATGATGATAGTAGTGTAAGATGAACAAATTGCTATTCGTTACTGTTTCATTTCCTCAGAGTATTTCACATACTGAATACTAGAGAACAACAGCAGTTAACAAATACAGTGAAACAACTTCAGCGATCACCGAAGTTCAATTTGGAGAAGACTTTCAGAGGACTACAGAAACGACTGAAGATTATTCGGTAACTATTTGATATTTAGTAATGATTGTACTGCTTTATTTTCACGGAAGAGATCAGAAGCTCAATATTCGAGTAGGACAACATTTAACCAAGAGGTATACACGACTTCAGCAATGAATGAGGATGAGTTCAGGGAATAACCTAGAACTAACTAATCAATCCTCAGATAATTGAACATGACTTCGAAGATAACGAGCAAAGAAAGTCCAACCATTACTTGCACACTGTCATACCAATAGTTGTCACATTCATTGTTGTATGCATTGGATGTGCCATATGGCTATGCTTGTATAAAAGAAGGAAAAGTAACTTATGATTGTCCAACTTGTTTTCATTGATCTGACTGTTTCTTTGCTTGATATTTTATCAACAGTCTTCATATTTTGTTATTTATTCATTATTGTGGATATTGTTCATGTGGAATGTTGTGCACTGTGTATAATTGTTTATGTAAATATTTGTGTAGTTTCCTTCATCACCACAAAATGTCATACATAGTTTTTATTATGTATGTGACTGTTTACATTGAATAGAAAAACAAAAACTAATTTGTGTTACAAGTCTATTGGAACATTTCATTAGTAAATTAGCAGTATTGTGTAAAGGTGATATTGTAGTAAATGCGATCAATATTGAGTAGTCCGTTGTGAGTTTTCAGATCAATATTTACAGTCCGTTCTTGTTTGTCTGCAAAACTACTTATGTTGACACATCGCAACTGGCCTGCACTTTATTTTGACGCTTGTCCGAAACATCCTGTCCTGCGGCTGGTTTCAAATGCAGTGTATCTGTAGTTTAATGTGATTCACCGTCACGACATTCGTTGTGATATGCAGGTGAGGTACTGTAAAAAGCTGCTATACACTGCTTCATGATTATAGGTCAGATGTCTTCATATCCTGGCGACCTTCCTGTGTACAGGGATTTGAGTCTACTGAATTCTAGTTCGGGAGTTATTTGGATGTCTATTAGAACCTCAGCTGGTGCTGGAGTTGAGAGATGTTCTGCGATTTTGGGCTCCAGATAAGGTTGTTTGATGAAATCAGCTGATAACATATCACTAAGTAATCTAAGTTTGAGGATTTCCGGTTCCTGACACACCTCGTGAACTTCTGATGTCTGCAGCAGGTCGCTCATGGAACCGCCCTGTTGGGGTTGTATTCTACTTGCTGTGGTTTGGGGTTGGAGTGTTGGAGTCTCTATCTAGGGGCATTTGCTAAGAATCCAGGTGTGGAAACCTTAGTATCCCCTCTATTTGCTAATCTTTTGGCTTTTAGAGCTTATGGGAGATCGGTATATTCCTTAAAGTAATAATTTCATACCATTCACATGGAAGAAATACCAGCATGACTCCTTCAGCTCAGTTAATTCAAAACTACGTGGTGCTGCGTCTTATGAAGCAGTTTTTAATGTACTTCGCCTCTCATTTTCGCGCTGAGTGTACATCATTGTGTTGGAAACTGTCATATCTTGCGAGCTCCCTTCATCAATCGTGATGTCGTTCGCGGTAGCCATCTTCCAGTGAGGATTATAGTCTTCATGTCTAACTGAAAGCAAATGTATCTGATTTCAATTATTCTGTATCATACCTAGTGGATTCTTTCACGTGTTGTACTGAGGCACGTGAGATAATCACGTCAACTAGGTCCTATGTGGGAGAATTCTCTGACTACTCAGCCCTTGGATTTATCCAGTCTAGTGGTTGCTTCTGAGCGGGATTGCTGACACAAACGCAAGCGAATACTTTTGCCAAACCGATTGGAAGCCACAGGCCTTTTATCTGCTCAATTTTCATGGTACCATCCTTTCCAGTGTATGACACATACCACGGAGTATCGACAACTCGGGAGTTGGTAGTTGTGTTTTTGCACTGTCCAGTAATCATCCGGAGGTCTTCAAAAAAGAAACTGGACGGAAACGGTAAATAGAGACAAACAACTGACAACCCTAAAAAATAAGAAGTGGAGAAGTGAAAACTGTTAGATCCAAAAGTGCAAACAAATACAAAAAGAACAGTACAGAGGATAAATTACTTTTGGAAAACAGATACTCTTGCCGCCACTTTTACTGAAATAAATTCAAATAAAGTTCAGACAGTATTCGTGATGTATAATAAGCGATCGAATCCATAAAGTTAGCTCAGAGAGGGAACATATCATTATCATTTTAAAATAGCGCGCAGGAATCATCATCACTATAGCATCACATTCGTCACCTAAAGAATAAAGGCCACCAAACATAATGCGTATAAACTGAAACCAAGTTTAAGATTGTTTTGATTTGACTGCTTGGAGAAAAACACAAATTGTCGAGGTGACACATCAATCGATTTACGACGGTTTGACCTTCAAGAGCTCAGTAACCTTCGTCAACGGACGATATCACTGGATTGTTGCCTTGAGTCGGCTGCTAGATCTGTACAACTAGGTAGGACGGTAATGTTTTTCATCGGTTTCCACCTCAATAAAATGAATCTTTCTATTCCCATTTTCTTTAACCTGTCACAATACCTATTGAGTAAGGCACTTCTATGTACTCTTATTCTATCCAAATATCATGAATACCCAATCTCCAGATTTCAGGTCGATTCTGTGGAATTTCGGAGGGGGAACCCACATCAGAGGAAATTCCGACGTTTTTACTTAGCTTGACAATATTAGCACAGGACCTATCACACCATTTCACTAAAGCTTGCCATGGTTCGCCCGAGACAGTGAAGTTACTGTAGCGTATCAACATTAGATTCAGACCAATCAAGCTATTGCCTGATTGATCCTCAACTACTATATTGTACAGTCGCTGTATTTTATACATGGATTGACCTAAAGTCTATCTGAGGATTTAGTAACGTAAAATCAGGTCCATTTAATCAAAACGAGTAATTTTGTTAAGTTTATTTTTGAAAATGTGGGTGAATTTTTCGCCATTCGTCCCAGTTAGATTCTCATTATTCCCTACTTTGTGGATAATTCGGTTTTATACAAATAATGTCGTACTCTAGTTGTCAAGATATATATTAGAAACCAAATATTGTCAAGGGATTTGATCGTGATATTCTAGCTTTCCGAACTAATTGCACTCAGTCTCAATTATCTGTATCTTGCGAAGTGTCTTGAACTTATTTCTCAGTTTAACAAATTGCAAGTCACTTTTAGTAACCTCTGGGTGAATAATCAAATTTCATCACGTGTGTATGTAGCTGAGATCATCCGCTTGATCACGGTTTCCCACCGGTCATATCCCATTTTTGTATTCACTTCTATGTTAGTTTCAATGTTAAGTTAGCCTGTTCTTGACATCAAAGATACTGAGTTGAATACGACCGTCGTTACTAGATTCAGCTGAATTCAAAGCGGCTAGATCCGATGCTTCTATCACCTGGTCACTAAAAGCATAGTCTGAAGTAACGACTTGTCCTTTAGGTACGCAGTAATCACACAGGCTGAAATGTCCAATCATGTTGGTTGTGCTAAATCCTCAAATATGTATTCCGGAAGCATCAGTCTTTAAATTTATTCATTAGAGTGGGGCGATTTTCGTCGATTAACCTTGGCGTTAGATAATCTAGTATGAGTTTGGATAATTGATTTCAGTGACTTCATTTGTACTAATTTTTCAATGTTAAATTAGTTATTTGACTTTCAATACATCTTTTCATTGTATTCATAGATTCCCTGTGATTTAGTGCTTAAGCAACAATTGCCTACTTGATAAGTTTTAGTTAATAATCAGAAGTTTAACCGATATATAGTTATCGAAAATATTCCTCTCGCTCCAAATAACAGTTAAGTGACTCGCATTATTATTATTATTATTATTATTATTATTATTATTATTTTCTACGTCATTATTCACCCTCTTTTATTCCCACTCTGTTTATACTTATTTTTTCGACTTATATAGCAGCTCGTCTATGGTGGAAATTCGGCTCTATCTAAACGTTCTCGAGTCACTGTCCGGTTGAAAATTGTATGTTACCACCGAATACGAGTACTGAAGCAGTGTTTCTGAAACCACGTGCACCATTCAAACTGGCTGCCTTCAACGTTCGCACATTTATGCAGGTCGGACAACAGATAGGGCTGGCTATGTCTTTGGAAAGTCTTAATATTGATGTTTGTTGTCTATCCGAGACCCGTATTCAAGACTCTGGTGAAGTACTACAAATTCGATCTCCATCTGTCGCTTCGAAAAGCTTGTTTTACGTGCGCTTATCCGGGGACCCTGTGGCATCTTCGTCTGGTCTTGCTGGCGTTGGTGTCGCACTAAGCGCTAGAGCTGAGGCAGCACTAGTCGATTGGATCCCCATTAACAGTCGGTTATGTGCTGTTAGATTAGAAAGTTCCATCAAAGTGAGAAGAAATCGGCGTGAGAAACGATGTCTTTTCGTCATCTCCGCCTATGCCCCGACAGATTGCAGCCCGGATGCAATCAAGGATGAGTTTTACCACCAGTTATCTGTTCTTCTCCAGAAAGTGCGTTCGACAGATATTGTAGTACTAGCCGGAGACTTGAATGCTCAGGTCGGGCGTCTAGGCACAGAAGAGAGTCGTTTAGGTGGCCGATGGGGACTTGTTGGTCGCAGGTCAGATAACGGGGACCGTCTACTGCAACTTTGCACAGACCACAACCTGTTTCTGGCTAGCACTAACTTTCGGCACAGTCATCGCCGATGTGCCACCTGGCGTCCTCCCTCTGCATCTCAAGCCTGGACTCAGATTGATCACATCGCGATCAGCTACCGCTGGCGTGGTTGTGTACAAGACTGCCGCTCCTTTTGGAGTACCTATCTGGACTCTGACCATGCCTTGGTCTGCGCCAATCTTACCTTACTTTTCAGTGGACAACGAAGTGACTGCCACCAACGGATTGATGTTAGCAAGCTGGTTGCAACTTCTGTTGCAAGTAAGTATCGAACCGAGCTAGCCTCTAGGCTAGCTACCATTCCACCGAAAAGTATAGATGAGCATTGGTTGCAATTGCATGACGCCATGAAAATGGCGGGAACAGTCAGTTGTGGGTTCGCGAAACGTCCCGCTTATAAGCACTGGGTTTCTTCAGGTTCCTTACAACTCATTGAAGCCCGTCGGTCTACTCCGGGTGACCGTGAGTTTGACCATAAACGAAGGATGTTACGTAAGGAAATTGGGCAAAGCTTGCGTAAGGACCGAGAAGCCTGGTGGTCGGAGCGTGCTAATGAGCTGGAAGCAGCAGCTGCATCTGGTAACTACCGGAAGCTCTTCCAACTCATCCGAGCCACTGGCAGCAAGAAGTCTGGTGTGAGTGAAACAATCTGCGAGGATGATGGGATGCCAATCACTAACATCCATCGACGTCTTGGACGATGGGCAGAATTTTTCGAAGGGCAGTTCAACTGGCCTGCTGCTCCGGCAACATCGATCAGACTGCCCTGCCCTCCATGGCCGGTGACGACTGACCCACCAAATGAGGCAGAAGTCCGCAAGGAACTCCAACTCTTGAAACGCTACAAATCACATAGTCCAGATGACTTACCTCCAGCCCTTTTTAAAGATGGTGGTGACTTTCTGACTAAGGAATTGACGACGTTGTTTACAAAGGTTTGGAAGTTAGAGAGTGTTCCAACATCATGGAATGGGTCGATAGTTGTCTCTATCTTTGAAAAGGGTTCGCGTCATCTACGCAAGTACTATCAGAGATAAGTATACTTCGGATTGCGTCCAAACTATTTGCTTCCGTCATACTTCGTAGATTGTTAAAAACCAGGGAAGAATTGACTCGCAACGAGTAGGCTGGTTTTCGTCCTGGTCAACGATGTATTGATCGTATCCTCACCTTCCTCCAAATGTTAGGATATCGTCATACTTATTACAGGCCAACAATCGTAGTGTTTCTTGACATTAAAGCCGCCTTCGATTCGTTGGAAAGGACTGTTCTCTGGGATTGTCTATTGAAGAAGAGTGTGGTGTTCTCTGTGTCGCATTTAAGGACCTTGGTTTTCCCTTTGTGTATGTTGAGGCCTATTGAAGAAGAGGCTGCTGCTACACTAGTTGTCCTCATCTGCATTTGTTCATATGTATGGGATAGAAGAGCTAAGTCATCTGAGAAGTGCAAAACATCAAATTGGTTCTGAGCTCTCCAATGTATTCCGTGTTTTCCATCAGATGTCGAGGTTTTCATAATCCAGTCGACAAGTGGAAGAAAGAGGAATGAGGAAAGTTAGCAGCTTTGTCTGACTCCGTTCCTCACTTGGAATGCATGTCAACTGTCCTCCATGCACGACTTTGCACTGTAATCGGTCGTATGAATCACGGATGATGTTGACGATCTTCTCAGTTGCTCACTCTATAGTGTCGAAGAAGTTTCCATAATGTTCTCCTATCCACACTGTCAAACGCCTTGTCATGATCAATGAAGTTGATGTATTGTGACGAGTTCCACTCAACTAATTGTTCGATATCTATGTGTTAAAATAAATAATAAATAAATTGTTCGACGATGATCTGTAGTATCGCGATTTAGTCTGTGTATGACCGGTCCCTACAGAATCCAGCCTGTTGTTCTCGAAGTTGGGCGTCTACTGAGTCTTTCATCGGGTTCAGCAACACTGTTGAAAACATTTCCTGGTACTGACAGTAGCGTGATGCCTCGGCAGCTCAGATCTCCTTTCTTTTGGAATCTTGATGAGGTGTCCTTTCCAGCCTGTCTGTGGCACTTATTCTTCTTCCTAAATCTTCCTGAATAGAATGTGGAGCATGCTTGCAGTTGCTTCTATGTCTGACTTCAGAGCTTCAGCTGGTATATTGTCAGGTCGTGTTGCTTTCCCACTCTTGATTTGTCTGACGGCCATCTGATTTCTTCCGTCGTCGGTGGAGTGACATCTATAGGAAGGTCTGTGTGTACTGCTTCGGTGTCCGGTGGATTCATTGTAGATGGTCTATTCAAGAGTTCCTCAAAGTATTCTGCCAACCTGTTCCTCTGTTCATGAATCTCGGTGATTGTCTTGCCTTCCTTGTCCTTGACCAGTCTCTCTGGTTTACTATATTTCCCCGCTATTTTCTTCGTTGTATCATATAGTTGTTTCATATTTCCTTCTCTTGCAGTTTTTTTCCTTCTGTCGTTGCTAGCTCTTCCACGTATTTCTACTTGCCGGCTCTAATGCTCTTCTTCACTTGTTTGTTTGCTTCAGTGTATTCAGCTTGTGCGTTGACTTTCTCTGCTCTTGTTTGGCTGTTGTTAATTTTTACCTTTTTGTCCTTCTTTTCTTGAATTTTGTCTAGGGCTTCGATAGAGATCCATTCCCTATTATGATACTTCTTGCGGCCCAGAACATCCTAGCACGTTGATATTAGTGCTCCTTTGATCGCGTTCCAATTGTTCTCCATAGTAGTTTCCTCTTCTTTGAGTTGATCTTGTAAGGCTTGGAACCTGTTGTTGAAAGTTATCTTAGATTAGTTGAGTTTGTCAGTATTACGAAGGAAGGCTGTATTGAACCTTTGTAATGCTGTTTGTCCAGTTGTACAGTGTTTCTTTAGCTTCAGTTTCATCTTGGTCACAACCAGGTGGTGATCTGAAGCTATGTCAGCTCCTCTCCTGATTCTCACGTCTTCCATTGTCCTTCGGAATTTTTTATTGATGTAAATATCTATCTGGTTCTCTGTGGTGTGATCCGGTGAGACCCACGTAGCTTTGTGTATACATTTGTGTAGAAATATTGTGCCGCCTATGACCAATTTATTGAATGCACATAGATTTGCAAATTTTTCCCCATTTTCGTTTCTCTCTCCCAGTCCATGTCGTCCCATGATATCTTCACATCCGGTGTTGTCCATTCCGACTTTGGCGTTTAGATCTCCCATCAGAATGGTGAGGTCCTTTCTTGGACACTTCGCTATGATTTATTGCAACCTATCGTAGAACTGATCTCTATCGTCGTCATTGCTATCATTGGTGGGTGCATAACACTGGATAGCATTCATTGTAATCCCCTCGTGTTTTGTTTTGAATGATGCTTTGATGAATCTGGATCCGTGAGATTCCTATCCTACAAGTGCATTTCGTGCTTGTTTGGACAGCATCAGAGCAACTCCCTGAGTGTGTGGATCATTTTCCTCTTCGTGACCGGAGTATAGCAGCACCTCTCTCGTATTTAGCCTTTGCTGTCCAGCTTGGGTCCAATGGGTTTCGTTGATTCTCAGTACTGCCGATTTGTATCTCCTCATTTCCGTTGCTATTTGACTGGTCTTCCCGGTCTCCCACATTGTCCGGACGTTCCATGTACCTATAAAAATTGTTGCTCGAGTTGTTAGAAAGGGCATCGGCCTCGTGACTTCCGAAGGAACTCGGCTTCTATCATGGGGCGTCATAATTATTCCTTCAACTCAGAGGGCAGAGTTTAAATGTTTTAAGTTGTTTATTCTGATTAGCGTTTTTCTAGCAAGGTTATTTCCTTTGGGATGAGGCTGCCAACTCCTGCTCAACCCTCCTCCTTTACCCGGGCTTGGGACCGGAAGTAACTGTAAGAGGGCTACAGGTGGAGTTAATGGAGATAATACGTAAATCATAATTCCTACTCGTGTTATGGGATTCATTATCATTTAACAACTATAAGCCATTTAAGTTCAGTTTCATACGAATATGTCTCCAGTAAACTAGATTTCCTAGGTGCTTGATATCTTTTCGTACTCATTTGCGTGTGTATACTACAGTGCTGGGACTTTTGATTGTAACCCTCTAACTACTGTGTAAACAGTAAATAAGAAAGGAGAGTTTCTTAGCTGAAATTATCTATTCCGCACTTCGACTTCCAAAACTTCGGTGGTTAAACCCACCCACTATTTTATAGTGGTCCATTAATATTTCACATTAAATGTCCCATTATTGTGTTGTCTTCTGGATCAATTTCATTAAAAAGCAACCATAAACATAAACTTAGGAACAAATTTTATCCCTTTTTTTCCTGAAAGCTCTAATTGCAGACTGTATGGTATAAAAGAATAAGAGGGAATATCATGATTTATCACATTTTTTATAGCCTTTTTTATCATAATGGTTTTCCTAAGTTTCTATTTCGGGACAGTACTCTATCTGCTAAGCATAAACCACAACATTTCGTGGTAGCCGTTTTAAGTAAGGACCTGCAAGTTGTGGAAGTCATTCTTCAAGGTTGTGTTGGCTCCATATGTTAATTCACTGAAAAGGAAATAATGAATATTTTGAGATCCAACATCTCTATTCGGTGTGTAAAGTATCTAAAACCCTTATTCAAAGCTATGTACACAAACCTGTATGCAATTACTGGTTTGTTTCGCTGATACTGAGGTTGACTCTGTCCTTATTATTATTTAATTATTATTTGAACACAAATATTGGTACAAGGGGGCCACCAGATACATATGCCCCACACAAGTCCCATTTGATTTGTGTGAGGGCTGTGATACTGCCCGGGTACCCAAACCGGAACAGGTGGTTTTCTTAGGGGGCTACACCCAAAACCTTCGACCTGAAGGTCTGATCCAAAAGGCTATGGGCAACGTAAGGAGATGTAGTCCCATGGAAGCTGGTGACCAAAAATAGGTTCGTACGCCATTTGTTCCTTTAGGATACTGGAGTCCATGTACACCATTGGGTTGGAATTAGGGTTTTCCAACTCCCTTAGGTGAACTCTCCATGTCCACCAACCCGGTTAAAGTGCCGGACATTCGATTTTCGTCCTCTCAATTTCGTAAACAACACCCGTGGTACGAGAAGTTAGTGAGTAGGACTTCCCTAGTAGTGACTGTATATGCGTAGTCATGTGAGAGTGTTTCGAGAGGGATGCTGACTCGCCTCACTATCAGCCGTACCAGGACATTTGGGGTCAATCACTATAGGGTTGTGGAAATTAATTTGTTGATTGAGATCTTGAACCGATTGATGTTAGATCACCATTGAAAACCTGGAAGCATTATACGACCGTTTCGTCCTATTATGAGACTCCTCAGCAGTAAGCATCCACAATCCCGCTCGTGGGGTTCGTACCCAAGGCCTTCACTTTCGACTCTGTCCTACCATCTTGTTGAAGTAATATTTTACTCAAGGTACCTCCTGGTGAGTACGTGGAATCCACCAAGAGGAGTTGGAAAACCCCGATTCTAAATCAATACTGCACATGGGCTACAGAATCCTAAAGGAACAAACGGTGTATAAACCTGTTGTTGGTCACCGGCTACCATGGGGCCGCATCTCTTAACGTTCCCTCACTGCCCTGTGAATTAGACTTCTAGGTCAAAAGCGCGGTGAGTGGCTTAAGAAAATCAACTGTTCCTGCTTGGGCACCAGTGCAGTGTCACAGCCCGCACACAAATTCAGTGGTTTGTGTGGCGCATAAATATTTTGGTGCCTCTTTGTGTTGATGTGTGTTTACATAAATTATAACTCTTTGGAGATGAAGATTCCAATGCTAGAAACCACTATAATATATCAAACGCTAACTTCACCAACATTCTGCTATTTCCGCTTGAAAGAGAAGAAAGATTATTGTGCTAATTTGTTTCGTATTTTCATTTCAGCCCTGGAGTTTTTTCTGTTATGTTTACTGATCAACTCTTGGAACAGTTAACTTTTGGCTGCCAAACTTTATTTTTGAGAAAAACATTAACCTAAGTATTTGATCCATAAAACTTCTCAATGTCCATCAAGGAAGGTTATCTGAAAAAGTGGTCAGGTACGAGCATTGTTTAAACCATTATTTCATTTCAGATCGTAAAAATTGGCACAATGTGTACTGTAAGCTGTTAAATAATGGTTGGTTTCAATGGTTTGATGATGCATCTTCCACCTCACCCAAACGAAGTGTTGAAATTAGAGTTCGTTCTTAACATTGTCTAACTTTTCGCTTTAGCGTGTAGCATCGTTTCTAGCGTTTGGAGAACCTTTTCACCGTGTTCCATGCAACCCGACCTCATTAACAGCTTCAGAAATTCCTTTGGCTTTCGGTGTTCTCTACGGACCTCATATGGGGACTCAAATGGCTTGGTTTGCCTGTCCGGATCAAGCAACATTGAGGTATTTTTTCAATGCTTTAACAGAATTTTACTATCTCTACGTTCTAAATTTCATTCAATACGATAACTGAACAAAACTACCCAGTTCAAGTGATTACGGCTTTTTTATATCTCAGCGTAGGCTCCAACTACAACATTATGAGTGTATTTAAATTAATTAAACTAGCAAGATATCACACAGACCGTTGGACAACAATACAGCCAATCACCCGACCGTTGCTGCCACCTTGACGTGGTGGTCGGGCTTGCCTATCGTGATGAAGCAACCGAGCTATACTGGCTGCAACCAACCGTTCCTCAAGATCCTACCATGTCAGACAGGTCGGGTGAAGAGCGGTAAGACTAAAAGCAACAAACCCGAGGTCCGAAGGCGAAGTCGTACTGCTGACTGTACAGAGGTGTTTCCTTCAGACAACCAGCATAACATCGATGCTGCTTTCCTGCAAGGAGGGGTGGGGTTAGAAAAGGTCGACCCTAAAAATGCGCATCTCGCCTTATCCCATGGATTTTCGTCTCCGGCGGTAAGGTCTCAACAAGTGTGGAGTTAACACGAAAATTGCCCATAAAAAGGTCGTGTGTGACCGACCTCGAGCAGTTGTCCCTTGGGCACTGCGATCACGCTCCCAAGTCACTAAGACCACCTCTAATCCGATTTCCTTTTCAGGTACCTCCAGAAGAACCCTTCCACGGTGTGGGCAACCGGAAAGTGATAACCGCCCTCATACCTCTAACAGCACTCAAGACCACTGTATTCATAATCAACCTCCCGATTTATTTTCTATTATTCCTCCTACATCCACTTTCAACTCTAAACTTCCTCTTTTGGCTTGCTCCTGAAGTGCTTCTATGGCCTACGATTCTAGTGCGCGAAACTCTGTATTAGATCTACTGAAACCTCGCTCCAAACTACACATTGGAGCCTTCAACGTACGCACCCTATGTCAAATCGGTCAGCTGACCTCCTTGGCTAAAACCCTAGAATTTCGTAGCATCGATGTATGCTGTGTCTCTCAAACACGCATACAGGATCCTAGTGTGGTCATTCATTTGACCTCACCTCGCCAAAACGGAAAGCCGACGAGATACACTTTTCGTGTATCTGGCGACCCGATGGCTAGTTCTTGTGAACTGGAAGGTGTAGGCATAGCACTAAGTATGAGGGCAGAACAACCACTATTAGAACGGATCACCGTTTACAGTTGCCTATTTGCTGTTCGGCTAAACGGCTCCGTAAGAACTCGGAAAGTTAGGGGCGGACGTCGTTTCTGCCTACACTCCCACTGTCTGCAGTTGGGATGAAGTGAAAGATGACTTTAGCAGACAGCTTTCTGAACATCTTCAAAAAGCCAAACGCTCAAACATAGTACTCGTAGCAGGTGACTCTAATGTCCAATTAGGTAGCCTGTAGCCCTCTTAGAGTTACTTCCGGTCCCAAGCCCGGGTAAAGGAGGAGGGTTGGGCAGGGGTTGGAAGCCCCATTCCAAAGGAAATAACCTTGCTAGAAAAACGCTAATCAGAATAAACAACTTAAAACATTTAAACTCTGCCCTCTGAGTTGAAGGAATAATTATGACGCCCCATGATAGAAGCCGAGTTCCTTCGGAAGTCACGAGGCCGATGCCCTTTCTAACAACTCGAGCAACAATTTTTATAGGTACATGGAACGTCCGGACAATGTGGGAGACCGGGAAGACCAGTCAAATAGCAACGGAAATGAGGAGATACAAATCGGCAGTACTGAGAATCAACGAAACCCATTGGACCCAAGCTGGACAGCAAAGGCTAAATACGAGAGAGGTGCTGCTATACTCCGGTCACGAAGAGGAAAATGATCCACACACTCAGGGAGTTGCTCTGATGCTGTCCAAGCAAGCACGAAATGCACTTGTAGGATAGGAATCTCACGGATCCAGATTCATCAAAGCATCATTCAAAACAAAACACGAGGGGATTACAATGAATGCTATCCAGTGTTATGCACCCACCAATGATAGCAATGACGACGATAGAGATCAGTTCTACGATAGGTTGCAATAAATCATAGCGAAGTGTCCAAGAAAGGACCTCACCATTCTGATGGGAGATCTAAACGCCAAAGTCGGAATGGACAACACCGGATGTGAAGATATCATGGGACGACATGGACTGGGAGAGAGAAACGAAAATGGGGAAAAATTTGCAAATCTATGTGCATTCAATAAATTGGTCATAGGCGGCACAATATTTCTACACAAATGTATACACAAAGCTACGTGGGTCTCACCGGATCACACCACAGAGAACCAGATAGATATTTACATCAATAAAAAATTCCGAAGGACAATGGAAGACGTGAGAATCAGGAGAGGAGCTGACATAGCTTCAGATCACCACCTGGTTGTGACCAAGATGAAACTGAAGCTAAAGAAACACTGTACAACTGGACAAACAGCATTACAAAGGTTCAATACAGCCTTCCTTCGTAATACTGACAAACTCAACTAATCTAAGATAACTTTCAACAACAGGTTCCAAGCCTTACAAGATCAACTCAAAGAAGAGGAAACTACTATGGAGAACAATTGGAACGCGATCAAAGGAGCACTAATATCAACGTGCTAGGATGTTCTGGGCCGCAAGAAGTATCATAATAGGGAATGGATCTCTATCGAAGCCCTAGACAAAATTCAAGAAAAGAAGGACAAAAAGGTAAAAATTAACAACAGCCAAACAAGAGCAGAGAAAGTCAACGCACAAGCTGAATACACTGAAGCAAACAAACAAGTGAAGAAGAGCATTAGAGCCGGCAAGTAGAAATACGTGGAAGAGCTAGCAACGACAGAAGGAAAAAAACTGCAAGAGAAGGAAATATGAAACAACTATATGATACAACGAAGAAAATAGCGGGGAAATATAGTAAACCAGAGAGACTGGTCAAGGACAAGGAAGGCAAGACAATCACCGAGATTCATGAACAGAGGAACAGGTTGGCAGAATACTTTGAGGAACTCTTGAATAGACCATCTACAATGAATCCACCGGACACCGAAGCAGTACACACAGACCTTCCTATAGATGTCACTCCACCGACGACGGAAGAAATCAGATGGCCGTCAGACAAATCAAGAGTGGGAAAGCAACACGACCTGACAATATACCAGCTGAAGCTCTGAAGTCAGACATAGAAGCAACTGCAAGCATGCTCCACATTCTATTCAGGAAGATTTAGGAAGAAGAATAAGTGCCACAGACAGGCTGGAAAGGACACCTCATCAAGATTCCAAAAGAAAGGAGATCTGAGCTGCCGAGGCATCACGCTACTGTCAGTACCAGGAAATGTTTTCAACAGTGTTGCTGAACCCGATGAAAGACTCAGTAGACGCCCAACTTCGAGAACAACAGGCTGGATTCTGTAGGGACCGGTCATACACAGACTAAATCGCGATACTACAGATCATCGTCGAACAATTTATTTATTATTTATTTTAACACATAGATATCGAACAATTAGTTGAGTGGAACTCGTCACAATACATCAACTTCATTGATCATGACAAGGCGTTTGACAGTGTGGATAGGAGAACATTATGGAAACTTCTTCGACACTATAGAGTGAGCAACTGAGAAGATCGTCAACATCATCCGTGATTCATACGACCGATTACAGTGCAAAGTCGTGCATGGAGGACAGTTGACATGCATTCCAAGTGAGGAACGGAGTCAGACAAAGCTGCTAACTTTCCTCATTCCTCTTTCTTCCACTTGTCGACTGGATTATGAAAACCTCGACATCTGATGGAAAACACGGAATACATTGGAGAGCTCAAAACCAATTTGATGTTTTGCACTTCTCAGATGACTTAGCTCTTCTATCCCATACATATGAACAAATGCAGATGAGGACAACTAGTGTAGCAGCAGCCTCTTCTTCAATAGGCCTCAACATACACAAAGGGAAAACCAAGGTCCTTAAATGCGACACAGAGAACACCATCAAACGTTTTGGCGAAACCCTGGAAGATGTGGAATCGTTCACGTACGTGGGAAGCATCATCGATGAACACGGAGGATCGGATGCAGACATAAAGGCGAGGATTGCTATAGCAAGGGCCGCATTCCCACAATGGAAGAAAATATGAAACTTAAAACAACTGTCAGCCACTATCAAAGTCAGGATTTTCAGTACTAACGTCTAGAGAGTTCCACTGTACAGAGCTGAAACTTGGAGAACTACTACAACCATCATCAAGAAGGTACAAGTATTTATAAATAGCTGTCTACGGAAGATACTCAACATCCATTGGCACGATACCATCAACAACAGCCTTCTGTGGGAGAGAACAAACTAGCTTCCAGCTGAGGAGGAAATTAGAAAAAGACGATGGAAGTGGATAGGACCTATAATACGGAAATCACCAAACTGCATAGTGGGACAAGTCTTAACTTGTAATCCTGAAGGGAAGCGTAAAAGTGGAAGGCCAAAGAACACATTACTTCGGGAAATAGAAGCAGATATGAAAAGCGTGAATAACAACTGGGAAGAACTGGAAGGGATTGCTAGGGACAAGGTTGGTTGGAAAGTGCTAGTGGGCGGCCAGTGCCCCTCTACGAGGAGTTACAGGAGTAAGTAAGGTAGCTTAAACCAAGCAAACAGACATTTAGATAGGTATTTTAGTATTCCGGCTGAGCGAACAGATAATGGTGATCGTCTGCTGCAACTGTGCTCAGACGATCGTTTATTTTGGCAAACACTAATTTTAAGCATAAGGAGAGACATCGTTCTAACATGGCGACCCCCTGCACCAAACCAACGATGGACTCAAATAGATCCTATTGCTATCAGTCATCATTGGAGAGGCTCGATAAAAGACTGTCTCTCGTTCTGGAATACTTGGACTCCGATCATGCTCTGATACGAGCATGCGTTTACTTGCTCCTCACTGGATACAGAAAAGCCACACTAAGAAGACCCATTAGAATTAAACTGAGTGGTGAAAAAGCCAAAAGTAGATCCCAGAAACAACTGAGGTAACACTTAGGTATTTCTGTAAATGAGGCCGACCCAGATGTTGCTTGGAAAGATATACGAACAGCTGTAAAAACAGAAGCGACATGTATTGGTGATTTGAACCAAAAGGTCACGAAAAGCCAATGGACTTCTATTAAGTCAATTGCACTGAAGGATTCTCGTAAAGTCATCCCATCAGGCTCCGAACACGATGAAGAGCGAAGGCAAATCAGATCTAGGTTAACCATAAGTCTAAGGAACGACCGTGAGCAGTGGTGGGCAACGAAAGCAAAAGAGATGGAAAAGGCGGCGGTTATAGGGAACACAAGACCTCTTCAGATTAGTAAAACAAACTGGAGTGAGACGATCTCGGAAAAAGACGACACCCTCATCTGCTCTCAGTCCAGACGTTTAGAACAATGGGCGGAACATTTCAGAGAACAGTTCAGCTGGCCTTCAGCTGCTCTACTACTACCCTCCATTCCCAGACAGTGTGAATGGAACATTGAAGTAGGTCCTCCAACTCTAGCAGAAGTTCAAAAGGCTATTGTTAATCTGAAACGAGAAAGAGCAGCTGGTCCAGATGGATTGGCTCCAGAGGTCTTTTAGCCATTAGGTTGACTAATATTTTAGCTAAGATCTGGGAGTTAGACGTGATTCCATCTGACTGGTCACAATCACTTATCGTCCCAATATATAAGAGAGGGTCAAAATCATCCTGTGACAACCATAGAGGGATTAGTTTAACTAATATAGTATCTAAAATACTAGCCTCGATAATTATCAGACGCTTAACTAAGACTCGTCAACTGCAAACACGAGAAAACCAGGCTGGCTTCAGACCTGGTCGTGGCTGCATCGACCACATATTCACCATTCGTCAGGTTCTAGAACGTAGGCATACTTATCGGCGTCCGACAATGGTGGTCTTTCTTGACTTAAAAGCAGCATTTGACTCGGTAGATCGCGAGATTCTGTGGCAGTGTCTGTTATTGAAAGGCGTACCTCAGAAGTACATAAGCCTTGTGAAGGCTCTTTACTCGAACACTACTAGTCGAGTCAGAGCTTATGGCGAACTCTCATCTGCTTTTGCAACCTCAAGTGGTGTCCGTCAAGGCTGTCCACTTTCTCCATTTTTGTTCAATTTAATCATAGACCTATTGATGGAAATAACATTCTCATTGACTGAATTCTCGGACATTGGTCTCCTTCCAAGAGGTCCACTTATCGACTTACAATAAGCAGACGACTGTTGTGGATGCGGAGGAATAGACCAATAATTATCATGTTAAGTTCAATGGTGTCCTTGGACTTTGAATGGACATTTCCTATTGGTCGATATCTGTTCACTTGTTAAATATTGTACAAAATGTTGTTTTCTATTTTATGGTACGATGTGGTATGCTTGATTGGTATACAAACAAAGTATGTTTGAAATATAGTGATTCATATCTCCGAGGCTGTGACTTGTGTTCTGGACTCAACTGACTGGGCTAGACAGGGAAGCGAGACCAATAGAGACTCTAGGCCGTCCGTACGTGTTTACGTGTCATCGAATCGATCGATAAGTACGCTGCTCTCTAATTTTCCAGTCAAGGTCACAACAATTAGCACAGGGTAAAAATCAACTACAACTTAAATTCATAACAATTGGCGACGGGGATGGAGAAAAATTTTGAACCTTGTAATTGGACGAGATTCAGGCTAATTGTTTCGACCCACAACTTAAAGTCATAACAATGACATAGTCCTGTTTGGTGAAGACGCTGATGAAATGCAGAGTCTTCTGGTAGCACTGAGCAACAATGCCAGAATGTTTTGAATGCGCTTCTCTCCCTCTAAATGCAAGTTGTTACTTCAGGATTGGTCTGCATGAACACCTGAACTAAGGATAGGGAGTGAAGTAGTCGAACGCGTCGACAACTTCACTTATCTTGGAAGTCTGATCAGTCCTCATGGGTTGGTGTCTGACGAAATCTGTGCTTGGATTCAGAAAGCTCGTTTGGCTTTTACCAACTTACATCACCTATTTCGAACACGAGATATCCGTCTATCAATAAAAGGACGAGTATACTGCGCGGCAGTCCGTTCTGTTTTACTTTACGACAGCGAAACATGGCCTTTAGGAGTAGAAGATTTTCGTAAGCTACTAGTATTTGACCACAGTTGTCTTAGAAATATTGCTCGCATCTGCTGTGATCACCTGGTATGTAACAGTAAGTTTAGACGCAGGTTATTAGGGAATGGTGATGGTATATCAGTTGATGAGGTTGTTAGTCTTCATCGACTGAGATGTTTGGGCCATGTGTTACGTATGCCTGAACACCGATTACCATGATGCGCAATGCTAACTAGTGTTGGAGATGGTTGGAAGAAAGTTAGGGGCGGCCAAACCAAAACGTGGCATCAGTCCTTGAGGTCACTAACTTCAAGTCTGAGCCATGTTGGTAGATGCAGACTGTTCGGTTGGGTTCCGTGTAATTATCGTAACCAGTGGCTGAAGTAACTCTTCTATGAATTTGGTATTCATGTTGTGGCTGTGAATATGGCAGGTAGTAATGAATAGTCTGGGCATAACTCAATAATGGTAAATCATATAATAGTTCATAGGTTAAAACATAGCTTATAATAAGAGGAGCACGAATATGAATAGTTTAGCTACTTAACAATCATACGATAAAAGTATACGTATAGTATTGATCCATAAATGGATCCCAAAAGTTACCATTCGTTATTCTCATCGGGATATAACAGTTTTAATCGAATACATTTTCAATCTACGTTGTGATTTCATCCATCCTATTATCTTTTCATACTTTAGCTCATGGACAAATGCGTTAATTTCATTGGTGAGTAGTATTTCAATAGTCTAATCTTGTTGCTTTTTCATATTCGTTTATAATTACTATGTTTTTTATGTTAGTCAGCTGGAGATTATCAACAGAAAACCTTGTTTGACTCAGGTTTTGAGCCAGTTAGCACATATTACCAAAGCGTACCTGCATTTTTCAGAAGAATGGTGTTATCGGATGTGTTCGAACCTTCAAATACTTGACATTTGAACATAGTGCAAACACGACGTTTAGTCGCTTAGACAATAATGTCCACATTGTAACTCAATCGATATAATTCGATCAGCACTACTTAGGACTAGACAAACATGGCATTTGTAGATACTGACTGATTATCCAGTGCTTAGGAACTTTATATGGTGACGCAACTTGATATCCGTTGCCATTGGCACAATAAGTAAGTAAATAGGAAATATATCTAAGTTGATAGTTTGAATGTTACTCTATACTTCTAATTAATTCTTTAACTTAATTGATTCCTTCTAAAGATCTAAGTATTTTAGCACTACTTAATATTAATCATTTTGACTCATTTGGTCTTCACCTTGTTGCTTTACTGTTATACTATGTTTTTAAAGCATCCCACCTCCAGCCACTAGGTCGCGCGGTAAAACACCTCACATTGATAATGACTGATCAACTGACCCTTTGCTTAATCTGATTTGATTCGAACAGTTGTATTGTGTCATTACCCATTAAATAACGAAGACAGAGTACATAAACCTTTACTTGGTAACTAGCCAAGAGGTTGCTTAGTGGTTAATGTTATGTCCGGGTGGTGATTAAATTATAGGTAACTTCCAAGATCTATTAATAAAGTAATATTATATATATATATATATATATATATATTCTTATTGTCTAACTATTCAGTAACTAGATTATGAAAATCTATATTCGCCTTATTATAACCTTTATTTGGACCTATTGACTATTATGATACGATTTACTATTCTTAAACTATACTCAGTTTGTTGATTCCAGTCTCCCACAATCACAGCCACTTTTTGGCTTGATCTTGTACAAATGTTATTTCTTATTTTTTGGTGTGATGTGGTCTGTTTGGCTGGTACATAAACCAAATATGTTTAAATAAATAATTCAAATAGTGGAAGCTGTTATTGGCGTTCTGGGCGGGCTAGGAGAACAAAGAACCGATCAAGGCTCTAGGCTGCTCATACCGGTCGAACGTCATTGGCTTGGCACAGCACTAAGATTGTATAAGTCTCATTTCGATTGGCGAATAAATCACGTGATAGTTAGCCGGGTTTAAAATCACAACAGTTAAGCCGTTCACCTTTCAGCCACAGGTTCAAAACCGACCATCCACCTATTTGGTTTTGGAAACCGGCTGGTTTTATCAGTTATCACACTCGGGGGGTAGTTCAGCCCTAAAATGCTCTGCTATGGTCGAGGTTGGGGAGAGCCAGCTCTCCTTCTCGAGATACCTTCACCTGGCCACGTGTATACAACCATTGCCAGAGAAGTGTGGCGTATATATATATTTGGCGCCCCCTTGTAACAATATTTATGTGTTCAAATAAGTAAATAAGGGAAGTCCTACTCACTACCTCCTCGCGGTGGGGGTGTTGTTTACGAAATTGAGAGGACGAGAAGCGAATGTCCGGCTCTTTAAACGGGTTGGTAGATATGGAGAGTCCATATAGAGAAGTTGAAAAATCCTGATTCTAAACCAATGGTGCACATGGGCTCCAGGATCCTGACGGAACGAATGGTGTCTCCCATTAGGATGATGAGGTACTTTCTTGGACACTTCGCTATGATTTATTGCAACCTATCGTAGAACTGATCTCTATCGTCGTCATTGCTATCATTGGTGGGTGCATAACACTGGATAGCATTCATTGTAATCCCCTCGTGTTTTGTTTTGAATGGTGCTTTGATGAATCTGGATCCGTGAGATTCCTATCCTACAAGTGCATTTCGTGCTTGTTTGGACAGCATCAGAGCAACTCCCTGAGTGTGTGGATCATTTTCCTCTTCGTGACCGGAGTATAGCAGCACCTCTCTCGTATTTAGCCTTTGCTGTCCAGCTTGGGTCCAATGGGTTTCGTTGATTCTCAGTACTGCCGATTTGTATCTCCTCATTTCCGTTGTTATTTGACTGGTCTTCCCGGTCTCCCACATTGTCCGGACGTTCCATGTACCTATAAAAATTGTTGCTCGAGTTGTTAGAAAGGGCATCGGCCTCGTGACTTCCGAAGGAACTCGGCTTCTACCATGAGGCGTCATAATTATTCCTTCAACTCGGAGGGCAGAGTTTAAATGTTTTAAATTGTTTATTCTGATTGGCGTTTTTCTAGCAAGGTTATTTCCTTTGGGATGGTGCTGCCAACCCCTCCTCAACCCTTCTCCTTTACCCGGGTTTGGGACCGGCACTAACACTAGAGGAGTTGTAGGCAGAGTTTCATTCAATATGTGATAAAGTAATTTTTGTTCAGTTCAGCCGTGTTGGATAAAAGCTGGTTCATAAGAATTATGGTTTGTAGTGGGAATGGAAATAATACGTGTAGCGTATTACTATTATTTTATATATTCAAATGTAATGCAGTTTAACACATATTCAGAATGATTTAAAACAAGTAATTCAGAAGAATAACATGATTTCGCTTTATAGGACTCTGTCTAAGGTACTTAAAATCTCAGTCAATCAGCTAAATACAATGTGTAACCTGGAACATTTAGGAATTGGTTGAAGTTGCCACATTTTATTATCAACTCACCAAGATGAAATTATCAAGATAAATATCAGAGTAGTTAGCAGTAATAGATTATTGTGTTTAACGAATAGTAAAGATACCTTTGTATATTCTTCGAAATGTTTTAAATGATAATATAAGATTAATGTTTGCTACCATTGAGTAAAAACGATAATGTTAAGTGTATCGAAATGCTCAATTGTCTGTAAAGTGCATATAACAGGCGAATTGATAATATTTTAAAATACGTCTTAATCTGATGGGACTACATTTCAGAGATGAATTAATCATATAGCATAACGGGAACTTTTAAGCGAAATCTGTCCATCCATATGACTAAACAGAATTTTTACATGATAATTAATGTCAGTTCGTAATTAAAACCTCAATCTTTAATCCTTATCCTATGTACCTAACCTTAAGTAGGAACAATGTGAGGACTCTTTCTATATAAATTAACTTCTTTTCTATAAACTATTTGTTTTTATAAGAGCTGTTTTTTGTTTGGCTATAAAGTAGCTGTAATCTCATCGCAGTTGTTTTAAGCTCATCCTTATAGTGTACTTTTACCCTGTTTAAAGTACGTACTAATCAATCACTGTCTAAAAGACATTGAGAGCTTCACAACGAAACAACTACCCAGTTAATTGGATAGACATCCTTCTGAGTAACAAATCACTTGCTTCATTATATATATATATATATCTATATCATAGAGTACCTTGACATCTGTTGTATAACAAAATACAATCGTGTTTCAGTTTCAGCAAACTTCAACACTTCCATCTGCCCCTCCACCATATCAACCTTCACCGGCACCAGCTCTACCTACAGGATCAATCGGTTTTGGAAGTAAATATAATAATATTTTTGTTTGTTGTTTTTTTTCCATAAAGATAAAACACAACTTTATTTTCATGTTGACATGTTTCATTGTGTAAGAATGTGTTAATCAAGGAAAATTCTATAGTTTACATCACTTCAAAATTGTTAGAAATAATGATAGAATTCTTATTTATTAGTGTCTTTCTACATTGGATAATTTGAAAACTATTCTACAATTCATTTAGGGTTCCTCATGTGTAAAATACAGCTTGAGGAGCTGGACTTTGATTGTATTAACTAAATTCAAATACAAATGTTTTGTCCTTGACTCTATTGGGATGGCTTCTGAGAACTACGATGGAGTCTCTAGAGGCTCTAGAAGAGCCGAATAATTCCATCCAATCAGAACGCAATGTAGCTTTCTAGAATATCAATATGGTATGCTACTATTGATCAGTAGCATAAAATGCCTCTTTACAGATTGGTCGAATTTAAATATTTTAACAAACGCTAATATCTATAAATACTCATGATTTTCTGTATATTTCGATTTTTGCCCAACAAACACTTTCTGCAGTCTTCTTCTGTTTTTCCATTTGTGACTTGGGAAGCGTTCTAGCGTTCGGGTGCTCAAATCATACGCGGTATATTAAGAATCTAAGCTTCTAGATATAACATACTCTACCATCGTTATGTCGTATCTAATGTTCAGTAGTCTTTGATTGATATGGTGGTGACCGAGGTCTTAATTAATTTGGGTGTGACTGACAGATGATATTGATTTTTTTTTCAATCATCTCGATGTCATGTAGTCACAGTTTGAAGAGGGGGGGGTGATTATATTAGTTATATCTTTCCCTTATAAGGAGTTAATTTTCTGATAATGTAAATATTCATATTAGTAGTCAGAAAATCATTTGAATAATCAATATCAAGTACTACACAGTTCAATATATACACAAATCTAACCATTAATTAATGTAAATCATATTAAAACTCGTATATATTTCAAAAGTACATTTTGATTTATATTGGGTTCCAAATAAATTTTCAATAAATCGTCTTCATATTATACTACAGATCGTATCAACTTGCAATGGTTTCTATTCTTAAGTATTTAACAATAAGATCGAAAGATTTTAACATTGACATTCTGTGATAATCATCTATAAATTGATATTTAAATCTTATTCCATGGATATCAGGATTCTGATGTAAATGTCAAAATTAGCATTACATATATATATATATATATACTCAGCAAACTGTACTATAAGGATTTTTTGACAATGAAATTCACATATTAATCATATTCATCATGAATGTCAAGGTTTTGCAAAAGTTAGACGACAGTAATTGTTTTGTTTTTTATAGCTTAATCATCAAGATTTGAATATTCAAGGCTTAAACTATCCACAGTAGTAATCCTTTATTATTTTTTACAATTAGTAGCACTACTTTCTCATTAGTTGTGATGGCTCTGTTTTATTTAGCTAAATATGTATGTATGTATGTATCGATATTTATATTCATTTACTGTTTGCTTAAATTAATCTTCTTTGAACTGTTCAACTAAGTACTGGACGGTTGTCTCATCCCATTGTGGGACTCCTCATCAGTGCCCCAAAATGCCCTGGTATGGCCGAGAGTGGGGTGGGCCCGTCCTCCCTCTTGAAATGCTCTCACACGGCCACGCGTATAAAGCCTCTGCCAGGGAAGTCCTACTCACTGCCTTCTCGTGGCGGGGGTGTTGCTTACGAAAATGAGAGGACGAAAAGTGAATGTCCGGCGCTTTAACCGGATTCCAAACCAGTGGTGCTCATGGGCTCCAGTATCCTGAAGGAACAAATGGTGTATAAACCAACTATTAGTCACCGACTACCATGGGACTGCATCTTCTGACGATGATCCACTGCCTTGTGTGTCAGACCCTAAGGTCGAAGGCTTGGGGTGTGGCCCCCTAAGAAAACCACCTGTTTCGGTCTGGGCACCCGAGCAGTATCACAGCCCTCACACAAATCGAGTGATTTATGTGGCGCATATCTATTTGGTGCCTCCTTGTACCAATGTTTATGTGTTTAAATAAATAAATAAAAACTCCTCATCAATGAGCACCCACGATCCCGCCACGCGAGATTCGAACCCAGAACCTATCGATCTCGCGCTCGAACGCTTAATGGTGAGACCGCTGAGCTGGCTGGCATCCAATGGTGTTAATGTCTAACTTCAACTAATCCACGAAATCAATTTGTCAATCACTGTTCGAGTTATTGATTTCTTTCTTTAATAGGTTTATTTGTATACTATTATTAGTTAAACTTGAAATATACTTCCGTAATTGTTTTCTTCCATCTTTTCTCAATTTTCAGTGCCTGATCCAACTGCTTATGGTGGAAATCCTGGTATGTGAATTTCTCCTAGATTATTTTCTTAAATTTATTATACAAATTCTTTTTGGGATCACGAATTGACTTAAGTAATTATTGAACATCTTGTAGTTTAGGGTCGTACATGACGAGTGGTGAAGGGTCCCTTTATTGGGAGTAAACAGTTGTCCAGAGTGCTTCCAGCTTTCGAATAGTTGTTCAACTTACATCTGTTTGTGATCTCGCACTAACATTCAACAATTTTCACAACCCTCATACTAATAAATATCTATGAATTTTATAGGCGGTTATGGGCCTCCTCCCCCGATTAGTCAACCCAATTATGGATACCCAACTAATAATTATGTTCCACCAACAGTACCCCCTGCACGATCACCAGCACCAGGTGCTTATGTGCCTGGGACAAGTTCTTATAGTGGCTATCAACCACGTCCACAAGATCCACAAAGTCAATATTTTGTCGGGCAAAATGGTCAACCATATCAAGTGGTCTATGTAGATGGTAAACCGAAAAAGAAGAAATGTAAAGGATTGAAAAATGCAGCAGTTGGTAAGTTGGATTTATTTCTTTTTGTAATCCAAATCCATTTTATGTAATGATTAATATTGCTTTCAGTGATGTTGTGTGAGTTGATAGTTCCTTTTTTTCAATTATTCCATTGAAAAAGAATGTGTAGACTTTTACTTAGCGGCTACAGATACCCTTTCCGTCATCTTCGTATCTTTTTATTACACTGATATCCGATGCTGGTTTACTTAATAGAGTAGTTTAAAAAAATAATTAGTGACACGAAGCAGACTAAGACATCAAGGCATCAACTTATTTAAACTTATTGACCTTTAATCTGATCATCATAGAATGGTACAAACTGCTTGGTGTTTCGTCCTCCGCCGATGACACTCTTAGATGATGTTTGGAGGTGATGTTTTTTTGTGTGAAAGAGCCCTCAAATGGCCTGGTACGGCTGAGTGTGTGGAGAATCATCTCTCTCTCCCTCAACCAATGGTGCACATGGGCTCCAGTATCCTAGAGGAACAAATGGCGTATGAACCAATCGTTGGTCACCGGCTACCAACTTTCAACTTACAGATCTTCGTCACCATGTTCATAATGTTAACTAACATCTATCTTGTATAAAATAAAATGTAAAGTAGCTTTTATTTAATAATACCAATTGGGTTTCAATTTATTTCTCATTAAAATTTTCAATAATCATAATATCCTATCACGTTTTGTACTTCATTTAGTGATTTCTAAGTATAAGTCAATTGGTTCTTTTATATTAATAAAAGATGAATTGATTTATTTTTATTGCCAAAAGAAATAATCAATACCATTCAAGGTCAACAATAGATAATCAAAACAAAAACTATATTATTATGATTATATAATTTTTTTATCATAAACAATTATTTATTTATAGAATTAATAATAATAACGGGTTTTTTTTTCTTTTTTTTTGTTTATCCAATATCTTGATTGGTTGCTACTGTGACATTCCTCTTTGTTTTGTATTCGAATAAATACCTAACCTTTTCTATATACACTTGTTTAACTCTTCCCATTGATGTTTAGCCCTTCAGTCAGTCAATCAGTCAGTAACAATTTAGAACTTCGTACATACATACATCAGTTCGAGTTGCCATATCACATTAGCACAGAGATGCAGTGGTCGATTCAAATCCCATAGTGGTAGATGTAGTAAGAGTATAAGCAATAATCGGAAAGATTAGGGTTTGAAGATGTTATTCAAGGAATATAATCCAGTGAAATAAATTTGGAAAGAGAAAAAGAAAAGGGACATGAAGAATTCAGAAGATTAGAATTCGGGAGAACACAAGAAGTGAATGCACCTGCACCATAGCAAATAATTTTGAGTCATTTCATTCAGGGTCTCTAGCCATCGGTTGCTATCATCTCGCGGTCCCCAACCAGGTAGTCTACACCTACCGACATGGCTCAGTCCACTTGTCAGTGACTTCATGGATTTGTGTCATGTTTTGTTCTGGCCGCTCCTAGCTTTTATCCAACCTCCTCCTATAGCATTGAGCATCCAGAAGAATGTCTAGTCCGACGACCACTTGTAGAAGTAGTGGTGATAGGATGACTATCATCAGTATCTTTAAATTTGTACGTTCTACGTCGAGAAGTAGATCTTGGGAATGAGCCTACTGTATTCAGACTTGACATAGGTTGAACATCGTTTTGTAGAAATGGTTTCATAGTGGAGATAGGGGAAGTTGTAGTAACTTCTGCTGGATTTAGACAGTCTGTATTTATCTGAGTTGTTGCTGTAGACAATTGAGAGCAATTGTTTTTTGCATTCGGAGTACACTTGGTCGTCACATTAAAAATGTTTTTACGAGGGGTTTAGCCCTCAAATGCCCTGGTACAACCGAGAGTCAGCTCTCCCTCTCGAAATGCTCTCATATGGCCACGTGCATACAACCACTGATAGGGAAGATTTACTCACTGCCTTCTTGCAAAAGGATTGTTGTTTACGAACATGAAAGGACGGAAAGCGAATGTTCGGCGCTTTAACCGGGTCGGTGGACACAGAGAGTCCACATAGGGGAGTTGAAAAACTCTCATTTCAAACCAGTGGTGCACATGGGCTACAGGGATCTTAGGGGACAAATGACGTATGAACCTATTGTTGGTCATCGGCTACCATTGGACTACATCTCTTTGTGGATTAAACCTCTAGGTCAAAAGTTCGAGAAGTAGCTTCCTAAGAAAATCACCTGCTTCGATTTAGGCACCCGCAAATATTCCAGCTCTAACACCAATCGAATGATGAAGTGTGGTGCATATCTATTTGGTGCCTCCATTTACCAATGTTTATGTGTTTAAATAAAATTAAATAAACAATAACTGCAATTGATTCATGTATTGATATAAGTGGATTATCACTTTAATCAATCTGAAAACTTGAAAGAATTCTTAAATAGTGAAAACATTCAAATTGTAGTCTCCCCCCTTCAAATAAATATGACATTAGTTACAACTTAGTTGTCATCCAATATTGAAGAGTGTACTAGGTGGTCACATGGTTACTACTCATCTTAATTCATTCATATATATCTACTTACATATGTTCACTTACTGATGTTTTTTTCACAGTGATAAGAATGACTGATTTAATTGTTCTGAAGAATAACAACCGTCTTGATTCCTATTTAGATTATCAAATATAATACAATATTAATATGTAATTTGTAAACATCTAAATTATTCAGAGAATCATAAGACAATACAATTTTATTTATAAAAATATCTATTAATCTCATTATTGTGTGTGTTATGTAATCATTTAACATTATGAAATAGTGTAGATGAATAGCTTTTTATTCAGTTCCATAACAACTATCTCAAGGAGGTCACACCCGGAGCCTTTGATCTAAAGATCTAATTCAAAAGGTAGTGGAGCAACGTCAAGAGATGCAGTCCCATGGTAGCCATTTGTCCTTTAAGGATGCTGGAGCTAATGTGTACCATTGGTTTTGGAATGAGGGTTTTCTAACTCCCCTATGTGGACTCTCTGTGTCCACCAACCCGTTTAAAGCGCTGAACATTCGCTTTTCGTCCTCTCAATTTCATAAACAACATCCATGGTGCGAGAAGGCAGTGATTAGGACTTTCCTGTCAGTGGTTGTATGCACGTGGCCATATGAGAGCATTTCGACTAAATAATATTATGAATAAAATAATATATATTTGAATAAAGCACAGAACTGTATGAATTTATGAGATATAATAAAGAATAAATGAAACTAGATCAGTTGATGTCGTTATGCGTCTTCATCAATTGAGGTGGTTGTTTGACACGTCGGTTGTTAGTTGTCCATGAAGTAACTGGGATTAGTGGTTGCAGATTTTGTATGATCTTACTCAGGATTTGTCATAATCGCTCAAATCCATTCATCTTAATTTAGATCTTTAGTTCTAATCTCCCTTCATACATATTTTTTTCATTTCATCTTCTTGGACTATATTCCCAATCTTTGATCGTTCTCATTTCCATTGTTTGTATATTATTTAGATCTCATTTGATATTCATCTTATTATTCTCATCTTGTTCTGATTTGTTGTAGAAACTCAGGTTAATGCACATTCGCACCTTCTCACAATTAAAGGAAAGGGTTAGAAAAGACCGGCCCTAAAAGTGTCACCACTCACGTTGTCCACCTTACTACCAGAGACAGAAAGTCATATAGTTGAGTTGTGATATTTTCTAGGCCATCCTTTTATAACCTCTCCTTTCCTTTATAAGAAGGCAGCATCACAATGTATGGTAATTGTTTGATAGAAACACCTTATTTCTGTTACACCCCTATGCAGTATTCGACAGTACGACTTCGCCCTTTGACCACAAGTTTGCTAATTTTAATCTTATAATTCTCCGACCAACTTCAGAAATAATGTAGGATCTGCAGAAAGTATAGGTCGAATGGTTCATCACGATAGATAAGCCAAATCACCAAGTCGAGGTAACAACTACGGTTACGTCAAGTCGAATACCTCTGGCCAGAATGAATTTTACTAAGCAAAGTGAAAGCATGATCCATTGTTAGTTATGTTTATTTCGAAAGTTGTATGAATTTGATAAAGCTAACTTAGAAGGGTGCATCAAAGAAGTTGTTACAAGTTCGAAGCGCATATGTCTTAGTAGAATGTTGTCTTTTGAACGTTGATGATAAGCTTAAGGTCAGCAATACGATTTATGTTTCTGAATAACGATTTAAAGTATTATATATGGTGTTTTCTGATTGTCTCATTGTAGTAAGTCGGTTTGGCCGCAATATTCAATTCATGTGAAATTTCCAATAAAGGTTTAACGATATGATATTTATGAAAAATCTTTCTTTTAGGGCACAAATAAGCCAACTAAATTTTTACTGAATAGTTTACATGTTATTCTTATTTATCTGTGTGTAGGTCTCGCTTCAGGAGTAGCTGGTGGTTATTTGGCAAGTCGTCTATTTGGTGGTTGGGGTGGTGGATTTATGGGTCCAAGATGTGGCAGTTGGAGTTCATTGTCTAGTCTCAGTTGGTCTGATTAAATTTAACTCTATATGACTGCACCTCTCCCCTTCTATATATATATATATGATGAAGTTTTATCGCTCTTTACCTGTAATATCGACAACCATGGTAAGTATATTACCATCTATTTATATAATCGTATGAATGCTTGAGAAATTCAGTTTCCTATTTCTCAATCGTTATATTATATATCTATCTTTATACCTCATTCGACAAGATGTAACTAGAGCACAGCCAAATGTGTATGCAAGTGTTCACTTCTGTTTCAAAAATTAAATTCACCATCAATACCTACTTGATTCCTTTCTCTCTTTTTTGATCAAACCTAAAATCCATCTAGAATTTCTCTTAGATTATTTGCCTTCTTCACGTTTCACTTGGACATCAGATGTTGATAAAAAATTTCACATGTATAAACTGTGTTAGTCTGGCCTAATCCCATTAAAATAGTAAATAATATCCAATTGACTATGTGCCATATTAATTGTCTATTATGAAATATTCTAGAAAAAAAAGTGTATTTCTGACAAATTGACAGACTATACATATAAACTATAGTGATCCTATGAAGTTTGAACTGTATATGTGTGATTTGTGAATGAATATTCGAACTGACCATAGTATTATATGAATTGATATAACAATTCAGTGAGTATATTAGAAATCTTCAACTGAGAAAGACATATTGTTATATTAAGCCGGTTAGGAATCATTAAAGTGGAAAATTCACGTGATTGTCCAAGGGATGACTTTATTTTGTAAAGGATGAGAGACATAAACCAGTGACAAGCTTGATTATATCACTACCTGGACTTAGTGACAAGCCGTGACTAATGAAGTTCACGTATGTTTTGTGTGAGACAGTTACCTACCTGTAAACGATATTGAAATTTGGTCGCGTAATATCGGATAGAATACCTGCTAAGTGGTTCTGCACTTGTTGTAACACTTAAAGACTGTTTGTTCTATCTCTAACAAGATACTTTGTGTTCACTGCTGAATAGTTTCATACTAGAACTAAACAGTTGTTCAACATTTTATAAATCAGAGTGTTTGTCAGTTCATAAATCTATAATCAAGAGGAACGATTATACTGCGCGGCAGTCCGTTCCGTTTTAATTTACGGCAGCGAAACATGGCCATTAAGAGTAGAAGACACTCGTAAGCTACTAGTATTTGACCACAGATGCCTTAGAAATATTGATGGCGTCTGCTGGGATCACCGGGTAAATAATAGTGAGGTTAAACGCAGGGTATTAGAGCATGATGATGGTAAATCAGTTGATGAGGTTGTGAATCTTAATCGACTGAGATGTTTGGGCCACGTGTTGCGTATGCCCGAACACCGATTACCACGACGTGCAATGCTAACCGGTATTGGAGATAGTTGGAAGAAAGCTAGGGGCGGCCAGACCAAAACGTGGCACAAGTCCATGAAGTCATTAACTTCTAGTCTTAGCCATGTTAGCAGGTGCAGACTATTTGGTTGGGGTCCGCGTGACTATCTTAACCAAGGGTCGGAGACTTTGGGTGACATGTCTCAGAATCGACATAAAGGCGTAGGTGTATACAACACTCGCTGTCTTCCCTTAAACTAAGAGATTAAAATCACTTCATATCTTTTTTTCTACGAACTAATCCTTTCTTCCTGTACTATATCGTTATATGCAATCTTTCTCGTATACATTACTATCATTGAAATAACTGCTTCTCTGAATCCGGTGTCCATCTTGTTGTGTTAATGAGATATGGCAACTTTGACCGATGCATATATGTGCGTGGTCCTACATTGTAGCTGACTGACTGACTATAATGAAAAGAGTAGCACTAATATCTCACGAGTTGTTTTTTTCTTTATTCATAGTTTACTTCTTTTTTTTCTTTTCAATGATTTCGTTTTTTGCTTCTTTTTATATTTTCACATTTTTTTTTTACAGAATTCAATTCATTAATGCATAATTCTATTGGAACTTAGATGATGAAAAATCTACTTTCATTATGTATGTATTTAAAGAGGATACAAAGTTTCTTGTGTACTTGTTTATTTTACTTATTTATTTATATAATCAGTCATTCATTCACTTTAATCATCATCACCTCTCCCTCCCCCACCACCTCTCTATTTCATTCCCATTCGCATGTGTTGGGAGATTGATTTCTATGTTTAATTTAAAGATTATGCTTTTAATAGATCCCGTTAGTAACTAGATTATTATTATTATTATGAATAATGGTATATTCATTCAAGATTTCACTTCATCTTCAGTAAGTTACATCATTTCTGTTTGTATATTTTATTAAAATACTTTTGTTTTTCTTATTTGTCATTCAATTCAAAGTTTTTCCTAATTATTGTTTATGTTTGTTTTGTTTTGATTCTCCTTGTTCATTGATACAATTTTAATGTTTGTGAGTTAATATAATTAGAAGATGAATACATTGTAATGTCATTAGATTATTTTTGTTGTATTAATTATTTTAATTGGATCATTGACTATAATTCTAATCTAGTTTATAAAGTGAAACTATAATCTTTGAATGATAATTGAGAAGAAAGTTAAGGGGGGGGGGGGTCAAGTCAAAATCTGGCCATCATTCCATAAAGTAATACTTATAACTTGTGACCTCTGTGCCCTGTTAATGTATAACCTAATGATACCGCCATTTAGAGAGAGCAATAAATTATCGATCGGACTAATGACGCCTAAAACTCGTACGAGTAGTCTAGAGTTCATATTGGCCCTGCTTCGTGCCTAGCCCATCCAGTTATGTCCAAAAACACTAATCTCAGCAATCTCTGCAATATAAATCATGTATTTCAAACATACTTAGTTTATATACACCAGCCAAACAGACCAAATCGTACCAATAAAATAGAAAATACACATTTGTATAATATTTGGCCAACAGGAAAATCGCACACCATTTCACATTCAAGAATAGCATTAGACTTAACAGAATTATTCTTAGGATATTTTTTTATGAATATTCCAACAAGATAAAGAAGAGAAATAGTTTATGAATGAACAGCTTAAATAAATGATTTTATCCAAACAAAAGAAAAAAAGTATTCTTTGCTAAATTCACTTTACCCCTAGTTATGTTCATTGATTAAAGTCTAGAAATACTATTTACAATTAAATGAAATAGACCTAGAATAGTAAACATTATAAGTAGAATTCTAATCTGGTGAATTGTGAACACATGAATATCGATTACAGATCTATCTGACTATTATTGATTACTTCATATGTATATGAGACTTTCTTTTAATTGTTGAAATGTTTACTGTTATTAGTACCCTTTCTCATACAATTAAGTTTGTTTACGGTTAAAAATTTTTTTTTTTGTCAAACACTTCAATGAACATATTCATCTATTATTTTGTATGATCATATGTACTTGAAAATATGTGAAAACCGACGCATATTATCTCTTTTTCTAGCTTAAATAGTTTAGTCGTTTAAATATCGCTGGATAAGTCATTCGCTTTCCTACATATATATATGCTTTAATCTTATTAATTACTTTGTCTGAATCCGATTTGACTCTGAATCCACTTGCTCACATGAATTAGTTTTCTTGATCAAATTCCTTTGGTTGTGCTTATAGTTTCGTGTTCTGAAAGATACAGGAATAAACTGTGGTCAGTGCATCGTGTATTGCCTTTGAATTTATTAAATAACGATTCTCAGGGTAATTAATATATGAAGCATAAGGAATTATCTTAAAGTCAAGTCATTGTATTATCTCTTACTTCGATAGGCATTGAATTCAGCTAACATAGTGGTGTCCAATTCAATGCAATATCTAACATAGGATCTATTCTTACATGTAAGAGATGCGATTCTTCCCCTTGAAAAGCAAAATGTCGCTTCACAATTGGGTTGCATCTGCACCTGAGTTAATGATAGGCAGTGAAGTAGTTGAGCGTGTCGACCTCTTCACTTATCTTGGGAGTTTCATCAACCCTTGTGGCCTAGTATGTGGCGAAATCGCAGCACGGATACAGAAGGCTCGACTGGCTTTTGCCAACTTGCGTCATTTACGGCGTAGGCGAGATATTCGTCTATCAACCAAAGGACGTGTTTACTGCTCAGCAGTTCGTTCTGTCCTATTTTATGGCAGTGAAACATGGGCGCTAAGAGTAGAGGATATTCGTAGGTTACTAGTATTTGATCATAGGTGTCTTCGAAATATTGCACGTATATCGTGTGGGACCATCGAGTAAGTAATGCAGTTGTTAGGAAACGGGTACTAGTTAAGGATGGCAAATCCATTAATGAACTAGTGAAACTTCATCAGTTGAGATGTCTGGGACACATGTTACGTATGCCCAACGACCGACTGCCTCGACGTGCGATGTTCGATGGTATAGGAGTAGGTTGGAAGAAAGCTAGGGGCGGCCAGACCAAAACATGGCACAAATCCATGAAGTCACTGACAAGTGGACTGAGTCATGTTGGTAGGTGTAGACTACCTGGTTGGGGACTGCGAGATGATAGCAACCGATGGCTAGAGACCCTGAATGGCATGGCTCAAAATCGTTTGCAATGGTGCAGGTGCATCCACTCTTTGTGTTCTCCCAAACTTTAGTCTCCCGGTTACTTCTTGCCTCTGTTTTCTCTTTCCAAATTTATTTCACTGTATTATACTCCTTGAATAACATCTTCAAACCCTAATCTTTCCGATTACTGCTTATACTCTTACTACATCTACCACTATGGGATTTGAATCGACCACTGCATCTCTGTGCTAATGTGGTGTGGCAACTTGAACTGATGTACGTAAGTACGAAGTTCTACGTTGTTGCTGATTGACTAACATGTAAGAAATTAACAAAAGAAAATTATAATCCACTTCAAGGTTACTGTATATTTTTAAAAAAAACAACTACCAAGAATCCAAGTTACAAGGTGGTAGAATAAAAAGAGAAATTAACAAGTTAAACATGCATTTAGAATGTTCAAACACACATACACACAAAAAGATAAAAGAAGTGAGCAGGAATACATTTGTGTAATTGTTTACATTTTCCCAGATAGTTTTTCCAATAATGATAATGAAGTATAGTTTTTATTTTGGTAATAGGTTAACCGTGGGCTTCACCTTTCTTCCCAGAGACCTAAGGTTTATTAAATACATAGATATAAATAGAATTTAACATATCATATATATACATAGGTCAATAGTCGTATTGACTTTGTTACCAGTCTGCAAATCTTTCCACTATTTATGTAACCCTTTGGAAAAGTACCAACTCTCATAGATTATTGTACTGATGATTTTTAAACGAATTATCAGCACTTCATGATTAATCCACTAACTACAAAGAAACCAATCACATCAAAATTATCTAAGGTATTATTGTTCTTAATCACCCCAAAAAACATGACATCAATAAAAATTGTAGCAGCTGTTAGAGATATCGAACAAGCTGACTATGTTCTTCCGTCTTTGAGTAAAAACTATTAAAATCTGCTATATGTATTTGTGCTTGTATCCATAAGACAACTACTGTACAGACGATATGGATGATGGGAAACTGACGAAGTATTGAATAGAAGGCAACCTAAACCAAATTAGGGCATTTTTAAAAGCCTAGAACATGACAATAAGATATTAGAAAAAAATATACAAACACTGAGAAAATCCATTTCCTAATTTACTCAGATTGGAACCACCATTTAGTTTATTTATTTTAACACATAGATATTGGTACAAGGAGGCACTAAATACATATGAGCCATACAAATCTCATTCAATATGTGTGAGGGCTGTGATACTGCCCGGGTGCCCAAACTGAAGCAGGGCTAGTGATACAAACCTGAAAGGTTCATATATATGTGATGAATAAATTAACTTTCTCAAATTAGTTGGATATTGTTTTAGACAATTTGACATTTCTTAACCTTGAGTCCCCTATAACTTTTATGAATGACAATAGTCAATTACAATTTTTTTACAAACCAATCTAGATAGGTTTATCATGAGTGAAATTTCTTAAGGAACACATATGTATGTGACAAATGTCATGGTATGATCGACGGTGGGTTAAGTCAGCCATCCTTTTCCAAATGCTCTCACATGGCCATTTAATATATCAAAATCCACTTGATCACATCAAAAATGCATTGAATAAACAAAATTCGAGTCTTGTCAATGAGTAATTTTAATTGAGATCAGGAATTGATCAATGTTATACCACTATCGGATACCTAGGAGTACTGGACAGCCGTTTCGTCCGGTATGGGGGACTCTTTAGAAATGCGCACTCATGATCAATGAAGATTAGAAAAATGGACTAGTGGTATTATATTCGGTGGTTGAAGGGGGTCGGCAGGAACGTTTGCTTGAACTAGGGGCATTTTGCTAGTCAGCACTTGTCAACAAAGCGTAGCCCCAGTCTTGGGGCAACTGACGCTTTCTGTGCGATCTAAATCAGCGTCAACAATCTTTACAGTCTTTAATGTTAACACTGAGCTGTAGGATTGAGATATTGACATTTTAAAAATTCCATTACAATTTTCTACATTATGTGCGTAAGTTTGAATCTAGTCCTTTGAAACTTAAAATTCTAATTGACTAACTTTCAAAGATACTTCGAAATTTTCACCAGTATAAAAATCAACCACCTTTGGGATGAAGGAATATCTAATTGATGAATCTGAAGTAAGACGAAATGTGCTTCCTTGATTACAGTATTAACCATTGAACTTATAGCTTGAAGTCGAGTATACTAGGCTGTAAATTTTGTCCAAAGAATTGTATACATTCTCAATTATTATATCATTTACATGATTCAGTAGTCAGTCATTGAATTTATACGCATATATATAGTAACAGTGATAATAATGATAATAATACTGAACTCACCCTTTTAAATTCATTCATATTGATTGTATTCACTGGATAACCATAGAATTTTAATGTATCAATTCGAGTTTGATCAGTTGAGGTTTGATTATTTTTCACAAAAATCTATGACAAAATACAATCAACAACAACAAGAAGTATAGAAGAAGGGAGAAGAAAGTAGTTTAAAGTAAGGATTGTACAAAAAAAAAGAAAATTGGGCAAGATTATAATTAATGCACGAACCAATCAGATATAAGATAGATAAAACATCTTGGATTTTGGCTCGATGATTGATTTATTCATTTGGCCAAATAGCTTTTTAGCATTTTGACTGATGAAAACCTTAAATCTAATTACTAAGCCTAACCATCAACTGTGAACTGAACACCGATTACCATGATGCGCAATGTTAACTAGTGTTGGAGGATGGTTGAAAGAAAGTTAGGCGTGGTCAAACCAAAACGTGGCATCAATGCTTGATGTCACTAACTTTTGGTCTGAGCCATGTTGTTAAGTGCAGACTACCTGTTTGGGGTCAGTGCGATTATCGTTACCAGTGTTTAGAGACTATGGGTGACATGGCTCAGAATCGACCAGAAAGGTGTAGGTGTATACACTCTTTGTCTTCCCTTCAACCGTGAGATTAAAACTGGTGTATTTCTTTGTTTGCACCAACTAATTCTTTCTTCCTGTATTATATCCTTATATGCAATCTTTCTTTTATATATTGCCACCATTGAAGTGACTACTTCTATGATTTTTGTGTTAATGATGTGTGGCAACTTGGACCCATGCACATATATGCCTGAACCTGCGTTATAAATAACCAACTGACACTATTTTATAACCCTCATTCAGTCCGACTTAGTAAGTGGATATTCTCAAGGTCAATTTGGAGTTGCTCAAAGGTCATCCATCAATTTATAGTCTCACCGAAAATTATACTCTCTTTTCTCATCATATTCATTAAACTTTATGCATGGAATTCGTTTAACATTATATAATTGATACACTTTGTTCTGAATATGTAAGTAGTATATATATTTTAAATGAAGTAGAAGTTATGATGGAGATCCATTTAATATATAAGTTTTATTCATTACTGATTTTACTTCGAACTTTTTCAGAACTTTTCAGAGAGAGAGAATGGAAATATAACAGGAATTAGTGAATCAGTATGTAATTTATGGCATTTGACGATCATTGTATTATTGATGACAAATTGATTTAATCTAGAAATGGAATTTCAATTTACTTGACTAAATGATACCTGAAGGTCATAGGGGTTGAGGATCACAAAACATAGTTGTAGGTGTGTATCAATAAGGGGTCTCATATTAAAATGAGGCAGCTAATGTGAACAAAGATTTTATTGATTGAAGAGTGAATGACATATAAAATTGATTTCTTTAACCAAACATCTTTGACATGACATAATCACATTTTAAAAAGGAGTAATTACATAGATTGTATGATAATGGTAAATATGTATTTACATGGGAAGTTATCAATTAATTGATGTCAAATACTATCTAATTTATATCATACAATTCTGACTTTCAATGAAGACTGACTGTAAATAAGTTGCATAGAAATCAGTATATTCAGAGGTTCATTTTAATTTATCTTGAGTGTCAAATAGATCCTCAATAAGTCATTGTCTAGTAGACTTCGAATGCCGTGCTATGTCTAAAAATGGAAAAAGTCCACTCCCTCTTGAACTGCTCTCATATGACTATGCGTAAATAGCCACTGACCAGTAACTTTTACTTGGAGCCTTCTCGTATACAGGAAATTCTCTACAAAATTGAGGATGAAAAATGAATGTCCGGTGATTAAACCGTATGGAGGACACGGATATTCTACATAACTAGGGGAGTTGGAAAACCATGATTCCAAACCAATCGACTCTACGATTCTGAGAGAACAAATGACGTATCAACCTATTTTTGGTCGCTGGCTACCATGAGATCGCATCTCTTAACGTTGTCTCACTTCCTTGTGGATTAAATTTCTGAGTAAAATGCTCGGGAAGTGGTCTCCTAAGAAAACCACCTGTTTTCGTTTGAGCAACCGGTCAGTATTGCAGCTTTCATACATATTTTGTACCAATGTTTATAAGTTTAAAATAAGTAAGTTCGATTTTTACAGTTTGCTTATTGAGGCAACAAGATTTCATACACAGACTTAATAAACAATAATAATAAGTAATAATGCCCCCAAATGCCCTGGTACGACCGAGAGTGGGGAGAGTCCGCTCTCCCACTCGAAATGCTCTCACATGGCCACATGTATATAGCCTCTACCAGGGAAGTCCTACTCACTGCCTTCTCGCACCACGGGTGTTGTTTACCAAAATGAAAGGACGAAAAGCGAATGTCCGGCGCTTTAACCGGATTCCAAACCAATGGTGCACATGGGCTCCAGTATCCTGCGGGAACAAATGGCGTATGAACCAAATGTTGGCCACCGGCTTCCATGGGACTGCATCTCCTTACAATGCTCCACTGCCTTGTGGATCAGACCTTCATGTCGAAGGCTCGGGGAGTGGCCCTCTAAGAAAACCACCCGTTTCGGTTTGGGCACTCGGGCAGTATTAGAGCCCTCACACATATCGAATGAGATTTTTGTGGCGCATATGTATTTGGTGCCTCCTTGTACCGATATCTATGTGTTAAAATAATAATAATATAAGTAATAATATATATATATATATATATATATATATATATATATATATACCAATGAATAGATTGACCACTTACTGTAAGTGTACTAACATTCTGAAATTTTACAAAATTCAATTGTGTTATTCCACCATGTTTAATATCCTCTTCTGTTAATCTTAAAGTAAACAAGAGAGAATAAACATGTGACAAGGGAGAAAAAAAATTAGTTTTTGTGTTTAGAATAGAAATAGTTGGGGGAAAAAGAATAGTTCATATTTGCCAAGGATTAAAAGTGAAAATTACATTACACTGTAAATAGAATGTATAAGACATAATCAATACAATGCTATTAGACGTTGATTAATAAAAAAACGTTTGCGTATTCGGGTTGCCTATTTATTTAAATACATAAATATTCGTACAAGAAGGCACCAAATAAATCATTCGATTTTTGAGGAGGGGGCTGGCCTAATGCCCAAGTGCCCAAACCGAAGCAGGTAGTTTTCTTAGGGGATGACACCCGGAACCTTTGACCTAAAGGTCTGATCCACAAAACAGTAGAGCAACGTAAGGAGATGCAGTCCCATAGTACCTGGCAACCAACGATTGGTTCATACGCCATTTGTTCCTTCAGGATCCTGTAGCCCATGTGCGCCATTGGTTTGGTACGAGGGTTTTTTTAACTCTCTTAGATACATCCTCCATATTCACCAACCCGGTTAAAACAACGGACATTCGCTTTTCTCATCTCAATTTCGTAAACAACACCTGTGGTGTGAGAAGGCAGTGAGTAGAACTTCCATGGCAGTGGTTTTATGCACGTGGCCACTTGAGAGCATTTTTAGAGGGAGGGCTGACTCTCTCCATTCTCGGCCGTACCAGGGCATTAGCGTTTCTAATCGACCTACAATAAATTCTACGTAAGGACGATGAAGAAATCTAATGTGAATACAAATACTGGGAACTCAAATAGGCCGAACCTCTAACAAACAATAATACTTTAACGTTAGTCATTTATAGGTTAATATGAAATAAGGAAGAAAAGACTTCTGCATTCTGAAGAGAATTCGAAAAGTGGAATGAACTTAGAATAATGAAATTAACTAACCAAAAGTGATAATAATCAATCAGACAATCGTAAAACCCATTGAGCAAAATAGGGATTAGTAAAACAAGAATATGCGTTAAAGAAGGTAGTAACATTGATAGTAATAAAAAAGACAACTAAATAACTCCAACTTTTTTTAACAAATGAGCAACCGAAACTTCATCAAGCCACAAATTCAGATGAATTGAAAGTGAGTAAATGCAGTACCTTCAAGATCATCAATTAAGAGTCGGTTAATTCATGAAACAATTGTGACGACATAATCCAGTATTTGACGTTTAGATCAAGTATAAAAAGAAACATTGAATTGTTAAGTGTAGAAGACAAGTGTTTTAGTTACATAAATGAAAAGATGCTTTTTATTTTGAAGACAATTGGTGAGTCGAAAACATTTGACACATTTTCATGATGATTGACACACCCAAATGCCCTGTTACTGCCGAGAGTGGGAAGAGTCCGTTCTCCCTCTCAAAATCCTCACACATGTCCGGGGCGTACAACCAATGATAGGGAAGTCCTACTCACTGCCTTCTCACACCACAGGTGTTGTTTACGAAATTGAGAGGACGAAAAGCGAATGTCCGGAGCTCTAACCGAGTTGGTGGATATGGAGGATCCATCTAGGGGAGTTGGAAAACCCTCATACCAAACCAATGGCGCACATGGGCTACAGGATCCTGAAGGAACAAATGGCGTATGAACCAATCATTGGTCGCCAGGTACCATGGGACTGCATCTCCTTGCGTTGCTTAGACCTTTACGTCGAAAGCTCCGATTGTCATCCCATACAAAATCCACCTATTTCGGTTTGGGCATCTAGGCAGTATCCCAGCCCTTACACAAATCGAAGAACGAAGTGTGGTGCATATCTATTTGGTAATTCCTTCTACCAATGTTTATGTGTTTAATTAAATAAGTTAATAATTCATGAATAACTCAACCTTAGTTCCAATGTGCACAACAGAGTAAATAAAAGAAACAAGATGAGCGGAAAATTTTCGAAAAAGAGACAATATGCAATTGTATGTTTCAAAAGTGAGTTACACTATTTCATATTTTATATAATGAAACGAGTAATATGGAATCATAACTAAATGAAACAATCATATAAAAGGTTTACGCAATTCGAGTATTAAAGGTTAAAAAAATATCGTCAAGTTAATTTCGCCTATTTACTAATACGTAACGGTAATAGACTGTACAGTTCATACATTAGTTCATTTCAACAATATTTGTTTTATATTCTCTGTTCTGATTTACTTCCCTTCGACTCTTTTGCGTATTATTTTATACTACTTATTAATATTCAGTAAATAGTTGTATTCCTAGTAATTTCCGCGTTTATGTTGTAACGCAACGCAGCTTTGTCGTGTAATAATCTTGAAATATTTAAATATACTTATAACATTTATTGTATTTATCATCATAATTACTTTATCTCGATCATTGATTCGCGATTTTTTGCAGTCGTTTAACCTTTATTTAAATGCAATGGTTTCTATACTGTTTGCTCTTAGTTTCGAAGTTTGCTTATTAATAGACTGTTGTGGTGTGTGCTACTTATATTGACATGAGTAGTATATGATGTTAGTGGTGAACAGAAAGTCTGGCAGCAGAGACAAGAAGATCAAACAGTAAAGAATGGAAACGAAATGCAATTTTTATGAAAATGCCAGAATAATGAAGTCTGAGTCATTTTGAGACAATCGATGGATATTTTGGAAATTAAGCGTTTACTTTATGATTGCTAAATTTTATTAACAAGTCCTGTAGTGTTGTGTTAAATACATTCGATTGTTCCCACCCGTGTTCTGTTTACTACACGGTTAGCAAGTTTAGAGAAACAGTCACGCGGACCCCAACCATGTAATTTGCATCTACTAACTATATTATGGATGATATAATATAGTTATTGATTGAATTACAAACCAACATAAATTGTCGACAATGTTCAAATACATTGTGTTGCATATTACTGAGTAGATTATGTAATTTTATGGAAACCATAACTTTCATTGATGAGTGACTAAACTAAAAAAAAGTAGTCATTCCCAAACTCAGAGTGACTCAAAGTGTTCAGCGTCGAAGGATACAATGTTATGTGTCCATAATTAACAACTAATTGGAGAGATTATATACTAACTGTATATCAAATAGTTTTCTATAAGAAAACACTTTTCACGAGTGTGTCTGAAGAGTAGCCACTAATTTGGTAAGAGGATTTTCAAAACTGCCGTACGAGGAACAACTGAAACGATCAGATTTATTTTCCTTATTTTGTTGTAGAATATGAGAGGATTTCACGTAAAGATCCTGTATATCTTGAATAAAGCTAGGGTACTACTACTAGCATATCTTATTGTTTTTCTCCCTTTAGGACTAATCATTTCGAAAGGTCATCACAAAACATATCTAACAACCATGATTAAACAAACTCAGAATGGAATTCCATTGTTCTCAATGACTAATCAACAACTGGAACTCATTACTCGAACAGGTGATAATCAGCCCTATCGAAGAAGAAACTCAATCTCCACTAGTAAACATAACATGAATCGAATGATCTTACTTTCATTAGTGTTGAACTCTGAAGAAAAATAAATGCAGATTATAAACAAGCAAGAACTTACTCTAATGTTTGTACAGCTTCACCAATTTCACAACTATCAAAATCTGGTGTTGATGTTTGATTAACAAATAGTTTTACTGTTTTCGGTGCATTCTCTAGAAGAAAAAAAATAAGACAAATTATTCCAGGTACAATATAGAATGAAAATGTTAATTTAGTATTTAACTGAGATCATGAAATGAATTCAGTTAGACAACCACTAAAAAGTCTGGAAACTCCAGGATAGCCGTTTCATCTTAGTATGAGACTATCCCCCCCACAACAGGGGATCGAATTCAGGACCTTCAGTCTCACGCGTGAACTGAATCAAAGTTCTTATTATGTATGGTGCGATTGTTCGTTGTCGAGTCAATGAACTGACAAAAGATAACAAACAGACAGATGTATAATAAGTTAGATTTGATAAGTGTAGGAATGATTATTTATTTATTTGAACACATATGTATTGGTACAGGAGTGCGCCAAATATATATGCGCCACACTATTCATTAATTGTGTGTGGGCTGTGATACTGCCCGGGTGCCCAAACCGAAGCAGGTGGTTTTCTTAGGGGGCCACACACCGAGCCTTTGACCCAATGGTCTAACCCACAAGGCAGTGGAGCATCGTGAGGAGATGCAGTCCCATGGTAGCCGGTGACCGAAAATTGGTTCATACGCCATTTGTTCCTTCAGGATACTGGAGCCCATGTGCACCATTGGTTTGGAATCCGGTTAAAGCGCCGGACATTCGCTTTTCGTCCTCATTTTCGTAAACAACACCCCCGCCACGAGAAGGCAATGAGTAGGACTTCCCTGGCAGAGGCTGTATACGCGTGGCCGTGTGAGAGTGTTTCGAGAGGGAGGGCGAACCCACCCCGCTCTCGGCCATACCAAGGCATTTGTGGGGAATGATGAAGACAACATGAGTTTATATGATGTAAAAACTCTTTTCTTATTTCATGTTTTTTTAATTCACAGGAGGATAGTGTTGAAAGCTAGGTCAAATTCTGTCCTAACCTTCCATTTCTATTTAGATAATATTGAAATATTTCTGAATGATTTCAATATTACCAGTGGCGGTTGATGGAGAAAGTAGAACTTTCACAGAGCAGACTACGAACAGATCTTAGCTAAACCAATATTGAAAACTAGGAAGCATTTGACAGTTATTTCATCCCAGCATGGGACTCCTCAACAGTGAACAGACATCGAACACAAGACCTTGAGGTCTCGTGGTGGGTGCTTAATATCTAGATCACTGAGTCAACCTCCGGTGATGTACATGTCTAACTAAAATCAATCCACGATATTGCACAACAAGTGTCTTTTGATTTACAATGGTGGTCTTAGCTAAGAACAGTTTGTGGTTTCAATATTATTAAAGTTAATCCTATGGACTAAAATTATAGCGTGTAGACATTTACAAAATCAGTTTCAACGCTTATAGTGACGTACTAATTACACACACACACACACAAACTCCCATAAGAGAAATCGTCTGAAAAGAATGAAAACAATGGCATTAAACACATTCTTCGGTTAGTGGTACCCTCGTTTTTTTGATCCATTAGAGATAGTTCATCACTAAGACTATATTATGAAGATATTTGTACAGTTCAGAGATAATTTTTATGATTGAATGAGACCGCTCAGAAAGGTAGGAAGATTTTTACCGCAAATATTCAGCATCTTTAACAATACTGTATTCTCATAAACGAAATAATAGGTTACATAAGATCAGCCCGAAAAACAACACACATACACAACCCCCTTGCTTCATAGATTTTCACTCCAGGTAATATTATGCAAGAAGTTCAAGAAAAAACGTTTGGTAAAACAAGCCTATTAGGTAGTAGGTTTAAATATAAAAGACTGAAAAAATTCTCAATTTGTTGTTCAAATCACTATCTCTCAAGAAGAAATATTTCTGCATGGTATGACCGACCTGAAAATTTCAACTGATCACGATACACCTTCTTTTACTCAAAATTAATCGCCAAAGACTATGGATAGATTGTACAGTATATACTATTTCACGTTGTCATATAATGTGTGTAGATTTATTCAGTGTTCCCCTCTTTTACAATCTCCTGTGACAAAAGTACACTAACTCATGGTCAACTATCTTCGGCTATCACGGAAATAATGTTACCCTTATGTAATCAGCATTTGTTTTCCTACATAGAAATGAAAAGATTAACCTTAAATATAACACATCTCACTAGATTTCATGAATTTTCGTCTCTCATGGTAAGGCATTTTAAACACAAAACTCATATTACATCGACTTCAAACAATTTCCCCCTTGAACTTTACAATCAAAACTCCTGTATCAACAAAATCACATCTAGCCTAAGTTTCTCTCCTTAAGAAGAAGTATGCTCCTACAGTTTGAATAACTAAGAAGTGACAATCACCCTTTTACTTCTATAGCAGAGCTGAGAATCATATCATTAACAATTAAACACAACTAAAAAATGGATAATTACATATATCTAATTACTAATAATAATGATAATAATGACAAAAATCAAATGTACCTTTAGGTCCATTAATTTGTACAGATTGAATACGAACAAATTGTGAGAAGGTAATGTATATAATAAGCTTTAAGAAATAAAAAATAGAAGGAATTAATAATATAAGACATCATTATGACAATAATATTGACACAAGTCGATTAACTTCAATATAAAATCCATCGGTAAACATGATTTATTAGTTATTACACATAAGATTTCAGTTCTCAAGTAAATTAATTGCCAATTGAAGGGTTTAGTGAGAAAGTTGTAGACTGTGAAGTTGAATTATGTTAGGTTCTAGTTCTATGGTGCTAAACACCGACTTCGATGGCTTGGACATGTTCTACGAATATCGTCCCAGAGAATTCCACGTTGTGCATTATTTGCCGACTCTGGGACTGGTTGGAAGAAGCGGAGAGGTGGTCAGTGCATGATATGGTGTCGTGGTATGAAACAAAGCTGCGAAGGGCTGGCTTGTGTTGGTCCTTCACGACTCCTTGGCTGGAGTCCTAGAGATGGTGCAGCATAGCGGCTAGAGACGTTATCAGATATGGCTCAGAATAGAAGTCAGTGGTGATCCTGCTGTAACCTTCTTTTAATTTCTTCATTAAAAAAAAAACGGTTGGTTCTTCCTTAACTGAAAGATTTCTTCTGATTGTACCTTTTCGTTTCCCCCATTATTACTATTATTATTATTACACTACCTTACACCAATATCTTCGTTATTGTTCTTTTCTTTTCTCTTCGAATTCTCATTGTTTTGTGTGGCGCCCTCTTGTACCAATATTTATGTGTCCAAATAAATAAATAAATGGTGCTAAATCAGTTTCTCTAAAGATTTTTGGTACATCTTGTTGACAAATACAAAATAATACTAAATCTATATCCACCAAGGTTTCCTGTCAATTGCATTCGATTAATTTACATCAAGTATTGTACATAGGTATTTTATTTATTTAAACACATAAACATTGGTACAAGGAGGCACAAAATATGTGCCACATAAAAAATTCGATTTGTGCGAGGTCTGGGATACTACCCGGGTGTCCAAAACGAAACAGGTGGTTTTCTTAGGGGACCACACCTGGAGACTTTGATCTAGAGGTCTAATCCACAAGTCAGTGGAGCAACGTAAGGAGATGTAATCCCATGGTAGCCGGTATCAGTTAGTCAGATACAACGTAGAACCAGGCACATATGTGCATCGTTCCAAGTTACCAAACCTAATTAGCATAAAAAAATAAACACCGAATTCATAGATGTAGTTAATTCACTGGTGGTAATATATAAAAGAAGGATACATATAAGGACATTGTACAGGAAGAAGTAGTTCGTAGAAAGAAAGATATGAAGCAATTTTAATCCCAGTTTAAGGGAGGACAGAGAGTGTATACACCGACCGGTGCCACGTTTTGGTTTGGCCCCCTAATTTTTTTCCAACCATCTCCAACACTGGTTAGCATTGCACGACGTGGTAATCGGTGCATAGGCATACAAAACACGTGGTCCAAACATCTCAGCCGATGAAGATTTACAACCTCATCAACTGACTGACCATCATTACCTGATACCCTACGTATAACCTCAGCATTACTTACTCGGTGATCCTAGCAGACGCCAGCAATATTTCTAAGGCATCTGTGGTCAAATACTAGTGGCTTACGAGTGTCTTCTACTCTTAATGGCCAAGTTTCGCAGTCGTAAACTAGAACAGAACTAACTGCTGCGCAGTATACTCGCCCCTTAATTGATAGACGGATATCTTACCTTCGCCATAGGTGACGTATGTTGGCAAAAGCCAAACGAACTTTTCGAATCCGTGCTGAGATTTCGTCAGACACCAACCCATTAGGGCTGATCACACTTTCAAGATAAGTGAAGTTGTCGACGTGTTCGACTACTAAACTCCTTATCCTTAGTTCAGGTGTTGACGCAGGCCAGTCCTGAAGCAACAACTTGGTTCATACGCCATTTGTCCCTTTAGGATACTGGAGTCCATGTACACCATTGGTTTGGAATCAGGGCTTTCCAACTCCCTTAGGTGGACCCTACATATCCACTAACCCGGTTAAAGCTCCGGACATTCGCTTTTCGTCCTCTCAGTTCCGTAAACAACACATGTGGTACAAGAAGGTAGTGAATAGGACTTCCCTGGCAGAGGTTATATACGCGTGGCCATGTGAGAGCATTTCGAGGGAGAGTGGACTCTCCCCACTCTCGGCCGTACCAGGGCGTTTGGGGGCACAGTCACTACCAGGGAAGTACTACTCACTGCCTTCTCACACCACAGGTGTTGTTTACGAAATTGAGAGGACGAAAAGCGAATGTCCGGAGCTTTAACCGGGTTAGTGGATATGTAGGGTCCACCTAAGGGAGTTGGAAAGCCCTGATTCCAAACCAATGGTGTACATGGACTCCAGTATCCTAAAGGGACAAATGGCGTATGAACCAATCGTTGGTCACCAACCACCATGGGACTGCATCTCTTGACGTTGCTTCACTACCTTATGGATCAGACCTTTAGGTTGAAAGCTCCGAGTGCCGTCCCATAAGAAATCCACCTGCTTCGGTTTGGGCACCCGGGCAGTATCCCAGCCCTCACACAAATCGAATGACGGAGTGTGATGCATATCTATTTGGTGCCTCCTTGTACCAATGTTTATGTGTTTAAATAAATAAATAGATAAAACTTTATATACATTAAACACGCACACTAACCTGTTCATCTGTATCTGATAGTAAATATGCCTTGGAATTATTATTTTCAGAGGAATTTAATAATTGAGCAAGTGAATGTGTATCATCTTCATTTAAACATTCACATTGATTTTTTGACAATAATATATCCATATCATACTAATAGTAAAATAGATTTTAAAAATGAAACGATCAGATATACATAAACGTGATGATTAGAAACTATATTAGTCAAACGCAAAATAGAACCTTAGAAAAAGTGAATATTGATTCAAATTGCCACACCACATCAACCTATTTTGGTAACTGGCTTCCATGAAATAGCATCTCTTAACGTAGCTTCACTGTTTTGTAGATGAGACCTCTACATCAAAAGATTGAGAAGTATGGCGACCTGAGAAAACCATTTTATCCGATTTGAGCAGTCGAACAGCATCCCGGCCTACATATAAAGAAAATGATCGACAATTACAACAGGAATGATCCGCTTGTCCTGTTGTCATAAAGTATATATTACACTAATCTATGATCAGATACTTCTAAGGTAAATATATATTGTGACCTGATTTAGTAGTTTCCCAACCCAATTACTAAGTAATCAAGTACAAGGTAGAAGTGAATTACATACATTACATACATATACATTTTGTAACTTAAGTCGAAAATACCATTTACAACCTGCCTTAAACCGTAGTGTACTCAACACCTGTTACTCCTCATGGATTATAGGCTGCCCAAAAGAAGTCTCCGAACAACTCTGTTCTGGGCTTTTCTTTGCAGTTGTTGCTAAGTGTTATTCATTACTTTGATGTCTGTCTCCAATTCCCGAAGGAACGTGTTATTTGGTCTTCCCTTTTCTTATCTCCTTGAGGACTCCAAGTTAGGGCTTACCTCGTGATGCAGTTTGACGGTCTCCGCAATGCGTGTCTTATCCACCTCTAGCTTCTTTTCCTAATTTACTTTTCAACTGGAAACTGATTCGTTCTGTCCCATAGTAGGTTGTTTTTGATGGTTTCTGACCAACGAATCTAGAGTATCTTGCGTAAACAACTGTTTATAAATATCTGTACTTTTTTGATCATGGTTGCAGTAGTTCTTAAAGTTTCAACTCTGTACAAGAGAACTGTCTTGAATTTTGTATTAAAAATTCTGACTTAAGTGTTGGCTAACAGTTGTTTTGAGCTCCAGATTTCCTTCAATTGTATGAATGCACCCTTTGCTTTGCTGAACTAAAGTGTATGTGGAGTCAGTTTTGAAATGAGTTACCCGACGATTAAAAGTTGTTGCACTACACTGAGTCACAGTGTTACAATTGTCATGTTTAAATAGTAACAACGAAATCAGAACATTTAGAAAAAAAGTTGAATGTCAATCCCGTATGACAATTGATTCGAAGTAAAAGGATGCGTACTTGTTTAGAAGACTGTGGGCTTTTATTTGAGCCACTTTCATGAGAGTCTGATCCAGAGAGAGCAAGTTCTTGTACTTTATCTCTCAACTTTTGTGGAACTCCACCGGTAATCCGATCAATTTGTTCAGCTCCACGTAGAAATATAAACGTAGGTAATGATCTGACATTGTAACGTTGTGCAACGTCCTAAAGTATAAAAATGCAGATTGAAAAGAAACATCAATAATAACACTAATAGTAATCTGCTCACTAATGACTACCTTTGAATATGGACTGCCTGAACTCCTAGCAGGAAGCTATGATCGGTAAAGTTATCTAAATACGGTGATACGGTAAAAAAAAACAGATTTCTTGTCAGTTATCTTTGGGGCATATGTGATCGGACGGTATTACGAGAGAGTGGTTATATTGGTATATTCAGAGTACTGATTATTTCATATAGACTGTCTATCTAGTACCGATAATCCTTCGGATAACTAGTAGTGAGATTACAGCCGAGAATAAAATTTAACGAATACAAACTCCTTTTAGATGCAAAGGTTAAGTTTGTGAACATGGATTGCAATGGCTTCGGCAATGTGCAAAAGACGCACTGGTAAACCATGTGGTAAATTTGATGGAATATGGTAGATAACCTTAAAAGCTTTATTCAGTTCAACGTGATGACCTCTGTCAACCAAATGAGCGAGAATAGAACTCTTAATCAGTCTTACCGAATATTGGTACAGAATCCAGCTCTCCTATGCTCGCTAGCTCGATAGTCACAACAGAGCAAAATACAGCAAGCGGATAACTTCTAACAAACAGTTCAAATTTATGAATCACTCATAAAACAAAACAGAGCAAAATCCTGAACGTGCATCAACGTAATTAAGAAGTTAAACTCATGGCATTACTACACTATAAACGGATGAGAACCGAGTCAGTAATAAAGTGACAGTAACTTAAGAAAGGTACGACACTACAACAGTTTATACATCCCGGGAAAGCTTACAAGCAAGAGAATTCGAAAATACAATAACTTAATCATACAATAAAAATAAGATAAAACCGCTTCGAATATGAGAGAATGAAAAACGAATGTCCGGTGATTAAGCCGTATGGAGGGCACGGATAGTCTACATACCTAGGGGAGTTGGAAAACCCTGATTTCAAACCAATCGCCCATATCGACTCTACGATTCTGAGGGAACAAATAATGTACTAACCTATCTTTGGCCGCTGGCTATTATGACATTGCATCTCTTAACGCTGCCTCATTGTCTCGTAGATTAAATTTCTGGGTCAAAGGCTTGGGAAGTGGTCTCCTAAGAAAACCACCTGTTTCGGTTGGGGTACATGGGCAGTATTGTAGCCCTCAAACAAATTTTGTGTGCCATATACATATTTTGGTGCCCCTTTGTATTAATGTTTGTGTTTAGATAATTTAAATGAAAAATAATAAAGTGTAAGTTCATTTTGTACTGTTTGTTTAAATCTTCATATTGAAAGTTTAGGATTGCAATTGATCAGTCTCCTATTGGCATATGTGCATCCGGTGCGGGTTGCCTCGATATTGCCTTAATTCACAAGCATGATAACAAAGATAGATGGTGTCTAACAATGGGATCGAGGACGCGCGTTCCATCCTATTCGAGATTCATCAGGTGGATGCACCTGCATCCCAGAATTGATGTTCACTTGGCTTATAATGATTGTGAATTAAGGAAATATCGAGACAACCCGCACAGTATGCAAATATGCCCATAATAGACTGAGCAATTGCAGTCCTAAACATCAATGGGAAGATTCAAGTAAACAATACCAAGTGAATTTAAACTTCACCCCATTGCACAAGCAAGTGGCTATCAGGACTCAGTAGCTAAATGGATAACGCGATGGCGTTTGAAGCGAACGGTATTCAGTTCGAATACTCGAGCGAACGTCAACTCTGGGATGAGAGCACATCTAGCTGACAAGTCCCAAATAGGACGAGACGTGCGCCTTGGATTTCACTGCTTACCGCCATCCACCTTTGTTTATAATTAAGTGTAAGGTTTGGCAAAACATGTGGATTGGTTCAAACTATCAGATACTGAGAAATTAAAATAAATTCATACTGAAGAAATCAAAACAATAACATTATTATTGATTGGACGAAACCGGAAGCAAGGAACATACTTATAGGGAAAAAATGAAAAGAGCATAAGATAGTATCAGAACATAAAATTTAAAAGATAAAGGATAAATATATTTGGACTATTGTGACCGATTATTAGCCATGTAACCTAAAATCTCCAACTATATATTATGAATATCTGATCAAACTCAATCAGGAAGTGTACACCTCAGGACGACGCTTATTCCAACAATCAATAACCTGATGGGCTGATCCCATGTAACTAGTGTTTTTCCAACCTGTTTTTACACAAGTTCATCAATATGCGTCAACATGATTGATGGCTGGATATGTGTAACAAATACTTAGGCCACCTCATCTAACAGAAATCTATCGTCACAATGACCGGTTTGCCGGCTTCATCCCACGCTTAGCCTGAACAGTATTTACCAGGTAAAGATTTGTGTACTCAGTTTTCAGCTATATTTCACATGCGAGTACTAGTATTACTACTCGGTTCCATAAGCCGAAGTAAATGGATGGGAAATGGAACTTGCTACCTGGTAGTCGAAAGTCGGACACTTTAATTAACAAACCAACATTCCACAAACTCAACAATAGTCAGTCAGCGGTTTCATTCCATGCGAGTATTTTGATCAAATATGTTCAAATACTAATAACCTGTATATACACCTTATCTTTGAAACTCATAACATATCTTACGTGGCGGAGTCTAATTCAATTTAATCAGAATGCTACTTCTTGTAGAAACATATATGTGAGGTTGTTCTTTATGCTGACTGGATATTTACTAATAAACGTTTAAATCCTGAGTTCTAAACTATATTGCCCATCAAAGCGCCATGATGTTAATGGGAGGACTGAAGTTTGACCAGTAGTATTAATTTAGTGAATATAAGACTTAACAATTAGTGTTATTTGAATTGAATTATAAAGTTGAAAAAAGCTAAATGTTTATGTTTATATGCCCAAAGATTAACGTAACCATCATACAGGGCGAATTAGTTGAGTGAGTCGATATTTTTACTTATCTAATCAATCTTGGTGGGTTGATATCTGATGAAATCTCGGCATGGATTCAGAAAGCCCGGTTGGAATTTCCCAACTTACTATGTCACCTAGGGGGTAGGTGAGATATCTGTCTACCGATTAAAAGATCTTTACTGTGCAAAAACTCACTCATTTCTACTTTATGTTTCTGTAAAATAGCCACTCAGAAAAGAAAATTGTGGGATACTAGTAAATACGGCAAATGGATTGATGGGGCATCGAATCTTCGTCACCGCCTACCTCGAGGAGTAGGTCGGAATCTAGAGAGGGTCAAATCAAGACATGACATCAGTTAATGGGGTCATTGACATTTCAACTGAGCCGTATAGGTAGATATAGACTAGCTGGTTTGTGTCCGTATAATTACCGTAATCAATGGTTAGGGACTTTGGGTGATATGGCTCGGAATCTTTCGGAATGGGGGAGGTGAATTCACACTTCCTCTCCCCTCAGATTGTTAGTCCTAAAATTCCCTTACATTTCTTTTTCGATACCCAATCTGTACCGTTACTATAGATACTGTTACTACTTTGAAATTTGTCTTGAAATAACTTTATCTCGGTTTGTTGATGTGGTGTAGTAGCAACTTGAAATAATCCAAACTGATTGACTGATATTAAAATTAAAAAGTATCATTAAATGCTTACCTCAAGTTTATCAACATCAATTTTAACAAATTTCATATTTTTATACTTGATGCTTAATTCTTGAAAGACAGGAGCTATATCTGAACAAGGACGACACCATGAAGCATAAAAATCCATTACTACAATGCTTGGACCATTTGTTACATTATTTGCCTGTTGTAAAATTTGTTCAAGATGATGTTTATCTGTGATATTAATCACAGTGGCCATCTAATAAGCAAATTTCTAAAATAAAATTTCAAAGATGAAACATCAATTTACTTTAGAAAATATATTATAAAAATCAGTTAGTCAACTAAAACGTAGGACCAGGCATATATATGCATCGGTCCAAGTTGCCATACCTCATTAGCACAGAAATATGAACACCGGATTCATAGAAGTAGGTAATTCAGTGATAGTAATATATAAAAGAAAGACTGCATAATAGGATATAATACAGGAAGAAATAATTAGTTCGCAGAAAGAAAGATATGAAGCGATTTTAATCTCATAGTTTAAAGGAAGACAAAGAGTGTATACACCTACGCCATTGTGATCGATTCTGAGCCATGTCACCAAGAGTCTCCAACCATTGGTTACGAAAGTCACGCGGACCCCAACCAAGTAGTCTGCATTTACCAACATGGCTCAGATCAGAAGTTAGTGACGTCAAGCACTGATGCTACGTTTTACACCATAAAACTAATTTTGATAATAACCATCTGGCTTCATTTCGTTCCAACGGTGTAATTATAGACATCACTGCAACCATGATTGGATGTATTCAAATACATTTATTAGAAACTAATGTAATGTTCATTAACCTAAAATGAACAGCTGAGATGACAAGTAAACTATATATGTTACTTAATGATGACATTCTACGGAGTTCTAAAGATGTACGAATTAAAACTGTTAAGTAGTAGAATAAGCTGCTCTTTAGCATAAAGAATAAATCTGTAGCTTGATTTTTTTAGGCACTTAACTTGGAACTATCCAGTCAAAGGTATTACTTTTTCTGGCAAGGTTTTAATAGCCCTTACAATTAATCGAGCTAAATCAGATGGTAGACAAGTTTTTTGTACGTCATCTGATATTATGTGGATGAACCAGTCAGTGAGTCATGACTATCTTAGTCATGAAAAGACGTGCGTTGTCACACAACATCAAATGAAATAAGAAATCAACCAGACGAATGGCGAAGGAGTCCAAGTAATTGTAGCGACAACGCCAATGACAAAAACTAAATACTGAAAATATATTTCGAGAAGATAAACTGAGGTTACATGAAGGAATGCTGCAACTGAAGATCTAGAGTAAGATAAAGTGTAAATGTATTTGTATCGTTGTAACCAACTAGGAGCCATATCACATGTCTCCATTAACTGATCGTTGTTATCACACGGACCTCATCTAATCAGGTAGTTTGCATCCATAAACATGGCTCAGATAGATAGTCAATGACTACGTAGACTGATCACACGTTTCGGTCTGACCGCCTCTAGTTTACTTACAACTTACTCCTACATCAGGCAACACTGCATGTGGAAGGCATGAAGTAAGACAAGTCTTAAACATTTCAGTCAATCATGATTTACAACCTCATTAATCAATTCGCCACCTATGTTTAGTAACCCATCACCGCTCATTCAATCGTTCCAAAATACGCAAGTAATCTTTTAAAGACATCTACTCTCAGAGTAGGCATGCCTTCTACTTTATAAACCATATCAAAAACATTCATAGGCTGAGTACTTTTGATATGATATTCGTTTGCAGAACAAAATATTCATTGTTACCTGATGTAACTTTTAATTTAGAGGAAATTTTCTTTTAGACAGTTTTATTCTCAAGGCATGTACAATCATCATCATATGTATATAGGGAAACAAATGTTATGAACAGGTTCTTTTCTGTCTGTATTTTTCTTTGTGTACTAGTTTAAAATTTTGTTGTGTTTGTTACTGATTTTATCTTGAATTCACACGTTGTGTTATCTCCATTTTTTAGATTTGAATATATTTCACTAACAACCATTTCAATGTTACTATTGCAGAGTCATCTTTTATCGATCCTTATCAATTATGATGACCCACCAGTTTAAAATCACATGAAAACCTTTCATACTATGGTTGCATTCTTGACCCTTATTTTGTCATATATCCCATGAATTCTATTCAGTTTCATGATTTATTTATCTGTCAATAATCTATTTTGCCCATCATTACAAACTCTAAGCCTTGATTCCAATTCATTTTATGCATGATGAACTTCTTCACAACATTGGTAAGATCAAAACTTGGAAACTGCGTTCACGCTGCAAGCCCCTGGTAACTTGGAGAAAATTACAGAGAACAACTATCTGTGCAATTAAGTACACAAAGCGCAGCTTGAGAAGTTATGCATTCTTACTCTGCCCTACAGCTGATTAAGAGGTGATCTAATATTTATGTTCAGAAAACTAAGAAATGATTTTGGACCTAATATACTCTCTCTTTTACTTAAAACTTGGTGAGATTAACTGGGACATAGCAGAAGAGTTTAAAAACCAACAAGGAACAAAATCCCTATTGGTATAAGGGTTTTGTCACCGAGTAATTAACTCTTGAGAGACACTACTAGGAGTGTTTTCCGCATCTTCAGTTGATTCATTCAAGATGGGACTAGATACTCACAGAAACTTAGTAGTAAAAGAACTGACACAAGCCACTGACCTTCTAACCTCAGTGAGCTAATGTGAATCTCAATAAACCCATACAAATATGATTCTATCATAGCTTTTGAAAATAGAATTGTCGAGAAAAACTCTTCTGTCTGGTATATCTGTGACAGCTCATTTGGCCAGTAACGAAAGAGCATAACAGCAGATAAATCAGTAGTCATGTAGAATGTATTGACATTTAACGGTCATCAGAAGTGTACTTAGAAGTACCTCATAAATACGTAGACCTTGTGAAGGCTCTTTACTCAAACACTACTAGTCGAGTCATAGCTTATGGCGAACTGTCATATGATTTTGCGACGTCAAGTAGTGTCCGTCAAGGCTGTCCACTATCTCCATTTTTGTTCAATTTCATCGTAGACATACTGTGGGGGACAACGTTCTCATCGACTGAGTTCTCGGACATTGGTCTCCTCCCAAGAGATCCACTTATCGACTTAGAATACGCAGATGATATAGCCCTGTTTGGTAGGGATGGTGATAAGATGTAGAGTCTTTTGGTAGCACTGAGCAACAATGCCGGGATGTTTGAGATGCATTTCTCTCCCTCCAAATGCAAGTTGTTGCTTCAGGACTGGTTTGTGTCCACACCAGAACTAAGGATGGGGAGTGAATTAGTCGAACGCGTCGACAACTTCACTTATTTTAGAAGTCTGATCAGCCCTAATGGGTCGGTGTCTGATGAAATCTGTGCGCGGATTCAAAAACCTCGTTTGGTTTTTGCCAACTTACATCACCTATTTCGAAGCCGAGATATTTGTCTGTCAATTAAAGGAGATTGATTATGAATACTATGATCTTGAATACTGTTAGAGGTATGAGGGCGGTTATCACTTCCTGGTCGCTCACACTGTGGAAGGGTCCTTCTAGAGGTAGCTGAAAAGGAAATTGGGTTAGAGGGGGTCTTAGTGACCTGAAAGCGTGATCACAGTGCCCAAGGTACAAGTGCTTGAGGTCGGTCACACACCATTTGTAATTTTCGTGTCAGCTCCACACTTGTTGAGATGTGCATCCCTAGAGTCGACTTTTTCAAACCCCACCCCTCCTTGTAGGAAGGCAGCATCGCTGTTATGCCGGTTATCTGAAGGAAACGCCTTACTGCTGTCACACCTCTGTACAGTCAGCAGTACGACTTCGCCTTCGGACCTTGGGTTTGTTGCTTTTAGCCTTAGCGCTCTTCAACAGACTTGTCTGGCATGGTAGGACCTTGAGGAACGATTGTTTCGGCCAGTATAGCTCGATTGGTCCATCACAATAGGCAAGCCCGACCACCACTCCAAAGTAGCAGCAACAGTCGGGGCGAGTATACTTCGCAGCAGTTAGTTCTGTTCTACTTTACGACTGCGAAACTTGGCCATTAAGGGTAGATGATACTCGTAAGTTACTACTATTTGGTCATAGATGTCTTAGAAATATTGCTCGCATTTGCTGTGATCACCGAGTAAGTAATGCTGAGGTTATACGTAAGGTATCAGGGAATGACGGTAAATCAGTTAAAGAGGTTGTAAATTTTCGTCGACTGAGATGTTTGGGTCACGTGTTACATATGCCTGAACACCGATTACCATGATGCATAATGTTAACTAGTGTTAGAGACAGTTGGAAGAAAGTTAGGGGAGGCCAAACCAAAACATGACATCAGTCCTTGAAGTCAAAATTCTAGTCTTAGCCATGTTGGTGGATGCAAACTACCTGGTTGGGGTCAGTGCAACTATCGTAACCACTGGTTGGAGACTGAGTGATATGGCTCGAAATCGATCACAATGGTGCAGATGTATACACTCTCTGTCTTCCCTTAAACTGTGTGATTAAAATTACTTCATACCTTTCTACCAACTAATTCTTTCTTTTTGTACTATATCTTTATATGCAATCCTCCTTCTATATATTACCACCATTGAATTAACTACTATGAATTTTGTGTTTATATTGTACTAATAAGGTATGGCAACTTGAACTGATGAATATGTATGCCTGGTCCTACGTTGTAGATGACTGGCTGACATTGATGTAGTAGAGAGGCATTATAGTGCCCTGAAAGTGTTTGTACTGTAGCCAGAAATTCCTGACAAACCATCACTTATTTACGTACCTACTTCCGCACGTGTGTTACGCTGATACAAATTAAACTTGTGTAGTGAGAGTACGCGTGTTCATACGGAGTTTGAAATCAGGACACATTTTTAGCGAACAACGCATTTATCGTCAACTATGACTTCGTCAACGACAATCAAAATTTACATTTACAATGATGTGTGACGGTAAACCGACTGTTAATCTCCTTGCAAACAACGATTCCGTTTCTAGTAAATGTATTCTATCAAGCAGATCTAAATCTAGTATCCTGTGTCAAAATTTACGTTTTGTAATAGAAGTAAAGGCGAAAAAAATGAGACGCTAGGGATAAGAGGAAATCTTGTGTGAACTTCGAGAAATTTTAGATAAGCTGCAAGTCATGTTGCGTAAATGAACTGGACTAAAATTATAGTGAGACAAGTCGACTACCCAACCTTGTTATTTTGGGGGAAATTTTGTCCGTTTTTTGGTAAATTTTGGGGGAACTGCAATAGAAAACTTTAGGTAGATGACACAAAAACACTGAAATTTCCTCGAACTTTGGGGAAAACCACCATATTTCTTACGACTTTGGGGGGAACCCCAAATAGGTAAACTCGGTACCGAAACCACAGTAATGCAATGCGAAACTCGATCATTCGGTTGGAATTGCCGCTAGAGTGAATACACCAATTAGATGAGTATACATACCCAACTAATCGAGGATTAGAAAATTCTCGGCTCAATTACTAGACTCTGAATCATCCAATTAGCTTCAAACTAACTGCAACTGCCCAATCAAAAGTACCAAACCAACCAATCAATTAATTAATGATTTAAGATCGTCGTTTCTATATTACTGTATCGCTAGTGTTACAAATAAAAAGCTTTGGAACGTGCACCAACATGAGAAAAGCGACTCAAGTTACCCGGCAAAGTTGGAAGTTTGAAAAACTGCCAGGCTGAAATATCCAAAATGGTTCAAATGGTTCAAATGGTTGTGGACGGAATAGAAGAAGCTTTCGCTTAACAGGCTTCCGTGTCTAGTAGCAGGGGATCACCAAATCCTCCAGGCAGGAACCTAGGTATGTTAACAATAAAAGAGGAAAAGAAATTGGTAAATCATAGTGTGATGCTGTCCTTGGTCCTTAAGAATAGGTCAAGTTGCCTCTTGAAGGACTCCTGAGAAGTCGCTTGGACTAGCTCGGCTGGCAGCGAATTCCAGCTTTTGACAACTCTTAAGGAGTAGAAGTTGTGTCTACATTCCGTCTTGCTATGTTGTGTTTCCAGTTTCTGGGTGTTACCCCTTAGGTTATTATTCGAACTAAGCTTAAGTAGGTGTTTAAGAGGATGTCCAGAAGTGTTAAGAATACTATAAGCCATTAATAAATCACCTCTAAGACGCCTATATTCTAATGGGTAAAGGTCTAGTGAACGGAGGCGTTCTTCGTAAGGCTTAGATTTGAGTCCTCGAACTGATTTCGTGGCTCGCCGTTGGATACGCTCCAAAGTGACCTTGTCCTTTTGGAGTGAGGGAGGGAGGGAGTACTATGTTTCCGTACTCTAAATGGGGACGGATGAAACTATTGAAGATTGTGTGGAAAGTTCGTCCGTCAAACTGTCCAAAAATGCGCCTCAACGTTACCAGTGCAAGGTTTGCTCGGAAGGCATTTTTGTCACAGTTAGCGTAAGACTTTAAATCATGGGGCACCAGGACTCCTAAATCTTTTTCGACTTGGGATACTACTAGAGAGGAGTTTCCTAAGTTGTAACTGTAGTTTGCACATGTCGCAGATGGACTACTTTACACTTTGAAGTGTTAAAGGTAAGTCCGTTATCGTCTGCCCAACTTTGAAGTCGAGTCAGATCCTCCTGAAGTGCCTGTGTATCGTCTTGGTTGCGTATCTCTCTCCAAAGTTTCACGTCGTCGGCAAAAAGTAATAAGTCTGACGTTACCTGTTGAGGAAGATCATTTATGTAGATCAAGAAGAGAAGAGGCCCTAGTACTGAGCCCTGGGGGACCCCACTAGGACATTCCATAGCCTGAGATAAAGTGAAATTAACCCTAACCTTAAAGTGTCGATTTTTTAGGTATGAAGTAAGCCAATCGATTAGAGGTGGTTTGATACCTAGTCGTTTGAGCTTGTTGATAAGACACATGTGGTTAACCTTATCAAAAGCTTTTGAGAAATCAAGGTAAATGACATCAACCTTTCCCTTGCATCGAGGATGCTTGTCCATCTGTCCACCGCAGTCAGCAGGTTGGTTATACAAGAGTAACCCTTCCTGAAACCATGCTGTTGGGGTGAGAAGAAATTTAAGGACAGTAGATAGTCATTTAAACCGTCGCATATCAGGGACTCCATGAGTTTTGAAGGTAATGACAGAAGAGCCACCGGCCGATAACTTGAAGGTTCATTGCGTCGACCACCTTTGAAAATTGGTGTGATGTGAGCCAACTTCCAATTTTCCGGTAATTTGCCTCGGCTAAGCGAGTGAGAAAACATCACGCTAAGCGGCGTTGCCAGGATTGAGGCTGCCTCCCTCAGTATGGCAGGATGAACCATATCCGGGCCAGGAGAAGTGTCTAATCTTAAGTGCTGCAATTTCCGGAACACCAAGTCAGCGCTTAGGTCTACTTCGGAAAGTCCTGTGGAATTGCAGATGAAACTGTCGTCAGTAAAGTTGATGTCAGCCGGTTGAAATGTTTGAGAGTAATGTGCCGCCAGAAGGTTAGCGGCGTCGCCATCGTTGTTGGTCGGGCCGTTAAGACCTACCAGTTGAGAAACTCCTGTTTTGGCTTGACGAAGAGAGGCTGCATAACGGAATAGGCTTCTAGGGTTAGAGGCGAATTTGTCCATAAGCTTTGTCTGGTACTGAAGCCTGTCTTCTCTTATAGCCTTTGTACATACGTTCCAAATTTTTGAGAAGAAGGATCGAACTAAATTTTTTACCCTAAAAGACATGTGAAACATTGACGGAGATTTTAATACACTGATAGATCCTTTTGTTAACTTTCTATGTAGTTTACCGAGTGGTTGTAGGAATACACATGGAATATACTCCCTAGACCACCGTGAATGCAATTGTTTAGTCTCAATTCCATTTTCTATCCTTTCGATAACGTAAGAAGACCTAAAGTAAGTGTTAGTCCCAGTAATTAGTGTCCAGGTCGAACCGAATTTATCTTTACATAATCAGTAAGAAACACCATTGCTAGATGGTGAGACAGTGAGTTTCACCACATGGTACCGGAACGAAAAGGTATATAAGTAGGAGGCTCTAGACACTCAAGAAGTTCTTTTTTACATCCCAATGTCACGCGATTAGAGGAACAGGAGAGATGAGTGTCATGCCAAAGCTCATTATTTGATAATGTGATGTTAAAAACCCGGTTGCTCTGTATCAACGTTTACGACAGGCGGAGTTGATCCAGCCAAACTGATTTCGCATCACACAGGAACCCAATAATGTTTTATCATGATCTTTCGGACCAGTTTCAGCAGCTCAAAATGTTTCATAAAATATGATCTGGCTGGTTGTATAACACACCTGAACTTCCTACAAACACTCACCCTCCATAAATATTTTGGTCTGAAAGCAGCTGAAAGTTTTACCTCCCACCGAAAATGTCTTAGAACTCTTGAAAACTTTTGCTATACGGTCCTCATAGGTTTCCAGGACCTGAGTGACTATAACCATCAAGTAGTTACATCTGTATCTACAGATATCTCCATCCTTTATATATATTACAGTTTACATGACACTATTATCCGGCTTTTTCAAAAAAATTCAGAAGAGATATTTGACAAATTTTGCCACTTACTAAACCCTATAAGATCCTCCTCACCTTGTGTTACCATTCTTGATATGAAATTGCCTGCATCTAGTATGAACGATTATATCAGAAAAGTGGTTTGGGCCTATTTTCCGATCCACAATCAGTTGCATTTTGACCTGCGTGATATTTTCAAGCACAGGATGGGTGTGTTTGAGATGTATATAATATAAACATCCACCCTCAGTCCATTCATAGTGTCTGATTTCACAGAGCAGTTTGCTGAGAAATTAGCAGGGATAGTGCAATTGTTATCTGGTAAGTGTAGGCAAATAGCCGACGGAATTTAGCCAAATTGTGAAAAAATAAAGCCAAGTGATCGTTCTCAATTAGTATTTACAAGTACTCAGTCTGTCTACTACCAAGAGCACGTTAATCATTTTGCCCATTAAAAATACAGACAAAGATGACAAAAATCGAAGTATTTTCGAAAGTCCGATTTACATGTAAACCGAGAAAGTTTGGAACACATTGTTTTGATACTAAGACAAGCGAATTGGTTTTAACAGAAAGAAATCTGTGTGAGATATGAACAAGGTGGAGAGTGAAAATTTTCAATTTGCTTGTTATTAGGGGCCTGCCAAGTGATGTTTAATTGAATTCCGTCTTTCTGTTCATATTGTTCTGATTGATCCATGCATATATAGCTCCTGTTTTCAATCATTTTTTGCGCACGTCAGACTTATTTTGCCCTCTCCGAAGTTTATGATAATAACAAGATTTGATTTCGAAATAACAATATGTTACACGAGGTAGGCCAGTTTACAGGCAAGATCAAATCATTACGAATACTACAGGAATTACTGTAATTAGTTACTCAGGTTGGTATGTTATAAGATAGAGTGATCATAGAAACTGCGGAAAGGGTCTTGCACATTAGAATATGAGTGTTATTAGGACTCATATATTGAATATCTTGTGTCCTGTTCTGGATGAATGTAGCGTTATCAACGTTGTGTATTCACATTTTTCAAGATCGACTGAGTCGAACCCCAAAAAAATGATGGAATGCTTAAATGAAGAAACAGTAAAGACCATGATCACTAACGAACACAAAAATTTAAGGGATGAAGCCGTTAAAGTTTTGTACTATATATACTCTGCCAGGTCGCGTGAACTTAAAACCCATTTTTGACAAGTTAAAATCACTGGGAAAGCTGTTTGAATATTTTGATAGAGATTACAATCAAATGTCACCCATATGCTTTTGTACACTCCGCCATACAGAAACGTACCAGTAATTTCTTGAGGTAGTTGATATCGAGTCTACTTAATATGCCCTCGACATTGATTATTTCACCCATTTCTATTTCCAATATTCTGTTCAATTCATGCACTTTCTTACCATGCCACAAGAGGATATGAAGACCCCTGCTTCTTGGCGTCCAGCCAAACGTAGGAAAACGACATAATCTAACATTACTACTGACACGATTTCCGACAGTTTTAGCGAAACGAGCTACTCCGTTCATCCGGAAGCAGACAAGCTTTTACCCGTTGTTTCCATCCCAGATATGTTGAAGACTGTTGGTAATCGCGACCGCAACCATATGGGTGCTATAAAGAAGTTACAAGTTGATGTGATTATTCTCAATCCGCCTAAGTATCTCATCAACCCCAACCTCACAGAGACTCCAGATCAAATGAATGCAACAAATAATTTCCTAGATCGTGTTGCATCAGAGGTATTTGAAAGAATAAGACGATCTAGCAATGCAATTGTGTTTAATATACCGGATACACATGCCCTTAAAAATATCAAATCTAGTCTGCTTAGAGCCAGCAATATGACACACGTACCATGTGTATGCACAAGATTAAAAAGAAGTCATCCTGGTATGCACTCACCGATCTTGTTCAAATTCAACTCATCTGTAGACGCCAGTGAATTTTTAAATTCCTCCAATTCATTGAGACAAAAACAGATTTTCAAGGATATTAAGACTCTTCCGGATAAAACACCATGCCAGCGAAAAGCAGGAAGAGATAACTACAGACCATCAGCTTCAAACTCTCAAACGCATCATAATCCTAATGGTTGTAACGTTAAGTCCGATTCTAAGAGGACGTCTAGCTTAACAACTTTGCCGC